AGGAAACAAAATCACCCTTCTGTTGCTGGGACATGCTGAATGCATCCTGCATGCAGGGACCCCAGGGCCACTCCAGCATCTGTCACCATGGGTGCTGGGGGTGGGTGAGGAGGTGCCGCATATCGCTGGCAGACAGTGAATGAGTGGTTTGGTCAACAGAGTACAATTCTGAAGGAAAGCAACTGAGCGGAGAGAGCCGGACAGGTCAAAGGTGAAAGTGACCCGCCCGGTTCCAGGGCCCCCCTGTGCCACCCTCTTGCTGTCATCCATTCTCTGCTCCCCATTTCCACAGCAGTGCTCACCCCCTTCCTTGCTTGTTCCATGGAAATTCATGCCATTAGCAGCTCTTTTCTTCTGTGCTGGCCAGCAGGGACGCATGGAGGGTATATACATTTAAATGTAAATGAATTTAAATTGAATAAAAATTAAAATTCAGTCTCCTAATTGCACTAGCCATATGTCAAGTGCTCAATAGCCACATGTACCTGGCGGCCACTGTATAGGACGGCACAGGTCTAGAATGCATCCGTCATCACAGAGGGTTCGATTGCAAATCTCTCTGATCAAAACCACCCCTCCCCAAATATCTGGGGACTAGTTCACCCTGTGGACCACATAGGTCATGTGTTCTTTCTTTGCTTTCAAATCCTTTCCACTGGACATGTGGTTGGCTTCAGCTAACCTGACCATCAAGGCAGGACAGGTGGGCAGGGAGAGGCTGTGGGACACCCCCCAGCCCTAGGAGCTGAGACATAACATGGTCTCCAGCTCATGAGGAAGTGCTCAGAGCTTCCTCCGGGCAGATAGGGGCATCAAGGGTCTCGACGCACAGGAAGAACACAACTCGGGAACCTGGAGAGCCCTGAGGGTGGAAGTCCAGAGGTGACTGGCCAGTGCCTGTGGTGCCCACCACCTGGTCAGGGCCCTAGACACTAGGCTCAAGTTCAAGGAGTTCCTGTTAGGGTGACAGTCACAGGCTTTTACTGTGTGCCACGCCAAGCCCTTTACAAGAATCTTCTCATTGAATACCCACCTATAGCTGCGAGGCTGGTTTTATTACCCACCTCCAGCCCATTTTATGTGAAGGGAAAGAGGCACAGAGACACCGAGGGGATTTCCGAGACCGTTCAGTTGATAAGTGACAGCTGGTCTCAAACCAAAGCTCTGCCCTGATCCGCACGCTCTGACTACCCCACCATTCCACGCTGCCTCTCTTTTTCTTTTTCTTTTTCTTTTTATTTTTCTCTTCTCTTTTCTTGTTTTCTTAAGGGATGAGGCAGGGCCTGGTTTTCCAAACTGGAGCATAACCTTAGGGGCCAGAGAAGCAGCCAGGGATGCTCAGGGGTGGGAAGCCCAGTTGTGGGACCACAGGTGGTTAAATCCCTGCTCTCTGCAGGGCTGGGCACCAGGGCTGCAGGGGCCAAGTCTGATGTTCACTGTAGGCCTCTCACTCTGCCTTTCTCCTAATAAATGCCTCTAGATCTCTCATTCTCCTTCCCAGGAAGAGATTCTCCTTCCCAGGATCCTCGTATACTTAGCTGGAGTGCCTCCAGCCTGTGTGGCATGTTCATGCCAATTAGAAAAAGGCCCCACCTCTTTCTGGTGGCAATACCTGCATGCCAGGAGCCCCTGCTTGTGTCTCCCCGCCAGCACCCTCATGCTGCTCAAACACTCTTCTGTGGACACCAGTGTCGATGTGCCTCTGGGAACACAGCCCCCAGAGCTGAACACAGATGTCCCCATGGGGTCCAGAGTGGCTTTGTGTGGGGGACTGGGCTATTCTGTCTAGAGCAACACGGTGCTGCTGTCAAAGCCATTCAGATCCTGTCAAATCATTCATAGTTTTGCCTCGTTTTAAATAGGAAGTCGAGGAAGGCAGACAAAATATTTTTCAAAATGCAATTTAGTCCAGGCAGACCCTGCTCACTATTTACGTGCACAGTTAACATTGAAATGTGAAGACAGGCTTGCGGTTTCCTTGGTTAAAGTCCATTTTCTTGGTTCTGAGGTCATTTAGAATTTCGATTCTGTTATCTGCTTGGTTAATCGTTCTTCCTTCATTTCTAGTATTAAAAATGATGAAAGAGTTGAAAAGGATCTTCCTTTCATTTCAAAATCTTCTTTCAGGCTCAAGATAAAAATATTAAACAGGATAGTACACAGGACAGAGGTCTGTGACTATTGTAGTGCAATGATTCCAAGCTAATCCAGGACAATTTGTCCGTAATTTCTGGGTCAAACTGTGAAGTCTATTTACTATGCTATACTCTACTACGCTATGTTGTGCTATCCTATAGCACATGGTAAGCAATCTGCTCAGTCTAGCCTTGTCTATATGCAGGTGGTGATTTTATCAAGATTCTATCACTCTTTCTAAAAATCAAAATATGTTTGTGTGTATATATGCGTGTGTGTGTGTGTGTGTGTGTGTGTGTGTGTGTGTGTGTATAAAATTCTCCTCTTCCTCCAAAGCAGGGACTCTGTTGGGGAGGCGGGGAAAGAAAATGAGAGGGAAAGTTAAGTAATTGGCTTAGTAGGGCTATATTTGCTTCTAGAGATATCAGCTTTATTTCCTAAGTACTCAAATTGTTTCTTTGCAAGTCCATTTCAGAATTTTCCTATAAATTTCAGACTTCTTAAAAATATTATTATAGAACTATAAAAATTTTTAAATCACTGTTTTGGAAGAATGTATGTGTTAATTACAAACAATTTCTTTACTTTTTGTGTGTGTGTGTGTGAGACAGAGTCTTACTCTATTGCCTGGGCTAGAGTGCTGTGGTGTCAGCCTAGCTCACTGCAATCTCAAACTCCTGGGCTCAAGCAATCCTTCTGCCTCAGCCTCCCAAGTGGCTGGGACTACAGGCATGTGCCACCATGCCCGGCTAACTTTTTCTGTATATTTTTAGTTGACCAATCAATTTCCTTCTAGTTTTAGTAGAGACAGGGTCTCACTCTTGCTCAGGCTGGTTTCGAACTCCTGATCTTGAGCGATCCTCCTGCCTCGGCCTCCCAGAGTGCTAGGGTCACAGGCGTGAGCCACTGTGCCTGAACTTAAACAAATTTCTTGTTTAAAAAAGAATCTCTCACAAAGCTTCTTACATTAAATTCCCATAAGAATGAACATTTAGTACAACTTATAATACTTAAACATATAAGCAAATCCTTATAAAACAGTCATATTTGTGACAAGTGAAGAATATCTATCTGTGTTCATCAATAGACACGGGAAAGGCATTAAGAAGATGAGCCACACATTGGGAGAGGGTATTTACAACACACGGGACTAACAAAAGACAAACATCCAGAGTAAGTAAGAATTCCTACAAATCAATAAGAGAAAGACAACACAACAGACAAATGGGCAGGAGATATGAATATTCATTTCTCTAGAGAGGAAACATGAATGAAGAATAAGCATATTGAAAGGCACTCAGTCTTACTCGTAATCGGGGAAACAAATTAAGACCACAAGGAGTGGCCATTGCCTCCCACCAATGGGCACAGATAAGAAGGCTGCCAATATTGAGAGTTAGTGAGGATGGACAGCCGTGGGAGCTCTTTCACGTTGCTGGCAAGGTTGTAAATTGGTACAACCTTGGACAACAACTTGGCATGCTTGGTGAGATTGAGTATGTGCATATCTTCAACCCTGAAATTCTATTTCTAGGAATATAATAAGCTACAGAAAAATCTTATACATGTTTATCAGGAGGTGGTGTACAAGAAGACTTATAGCATAATTTTTATTAAAACCAAGAGGAGAACATTAAATGTCCATCACGAGGAGAAGTATAAATAAATTGTAGAATAATGTGTTATGCGGCTATGAAAATGAATGACATTCAGCTACATTTTTACGTATGGCAGGGAAGCAAGTTCTGAAGGCTGTATAACTATATACTGTATTTAATTTTTAAAACAACTCTATTTAGCACATATAAAAACTGTACATATTTAAGGTGTAAACTTTAGTGAGTTCTGATATGTGTCTACACATGCGAGATCATCACCACACAACTCCTCCTCCCCTTCAATTCTTTGCCTATAAAATGACTCACATCTGTCTCCCCTCCGGCTTCTCTTCTGCTGCTCCACCACCGTCTCTCCCCTGGACAGATGCCTCCTAGCCTCCTCCCTGCTTCCAGTTCCTGCCCAGCCCCTCTGCCGGCCCTCTGCCTGCCCCCCAACCGGCATTGTGATCCTACATACAGATCTGGTCATGCCCACCTCTTCAATGCCACGCAGAGCTTGCAGGGTATGAAACATGTCACCACCCAGCTTCCCAGCCTGCCTTTCTGGACGTCTCTTCCAGCACTCCCTATCCCCGGTCACCACCCCACCAAACCCTGCAGTCACTCCCCTTTCCTTCGGGCAGCCAGTGACTTTCCAATCAGGGCAGCTGTGGGCACTTTCTGTTGTTGTTGTTGTTAGATCTATCTACTCATTCTCCACCTGGCAAAGTCTTCTTCCTTTAAGGCCCAATTCAAAAGTCACTGCTAGAGGAGAGCCATCCCCAACCCTCCATGCTAGTTCATAGCTGCTCTCCTCTGCGTCCACGGGACTATATACATGTTTTTAATTGAACTGTTCTGTTGAATGACTGTCACATCTTTCCCACTCGATAATCAGCCACAGGGGGATAAAGACCATGTCGAACTTATCTTGGATTGCCAGCATTCAGAAGAGTGCCTGGCACAAGGTCAGTGCTCAAAAACTGTTCATCGAATGTACGAGTACCCCCACAGCCCCTCGTGCACATAAGGGCGTGGTGAGAAGCTGTCCAGCACAGCAGAGTGAGAGCTGAACTGGGGGTGAGGATGCCTGATTCTAGTTCAGGCTTGGCCACCAACTGGCTGTGTCACCAGGGACAGCACAAATCTGGTCTCGGTGCCCCCACTTGTAAAGGGGCATACATTAGGGTCCCCTTCTGAGTCTCACATCTGATGATACGAAGGACTTGATAGTTCACCCCTAAAAATATCTCTTTTTCTCACCAGAAGGAAAGGACCTCAGAAGCCTTCTACAGAAAGTCATGGCACATAACCAGGAGCTGTTAGCAGAGACCAACGTTATCAAGTTCAAGGACCAAGACTTTAACTCCTTGCGAGATCGTTGCCTAAGCAGGGGCTGGCTCTTTGAGGATGAGACGTTCCCTGCCATGGCTTCTTCCATAGGCCAGAAGCTGCTCCGGGAAAAGTTTTTCTCCAACATAGAGTGGAAGCGGCCCCAGGTGAGTGAGCACCAAGGAACTCACCCAGCCCCGGGGCCCTCAGAGCTGCCTGCTCCGGTACCTCCCACTGAAAGGAGGGTGGGCCTCGGCCCTGATTTTCCGAGATGGCCCAAACCACACTGGAAGCAGAGTGAAATTATCTGGTCCCTCTGCTGCAGTGGTATTATATATCCACTCAGTGGGAGGCAAAGCCCCTGTGACAGCAACCAGGACCTCAGACCCCTGGGCTCTAATCAAGTTCCAAGGCTGAGCACAGCCTTAGATTAAAATGCCTGTTTTCTCACCTGAAAAATGGGAAACCATGAGGATTGTAGTAATTGGTCTTTAGGGTCTCCGCCACCTCCGCAACTGAGCCTGTCTGTCAGTCTGTCACTGGTTATTCTCATCACGTGTCAGTACCTTGATATTATTTTTCCCTTCCTTGTTAGAACTTGCACAAAGGGAAGAGCTCATGTCAGTCATTATACGATAGAGTGAATTTAAATGACGGCCTTGCATCTCTCTTTTTTTATATTCACACTCTCAATCTTATAAAGGCTTGATCACCTGTATGTGGCTTGTAGACAGCAGCTGTAAAATTAGGGAGACACTGCAGGACAACATTCAAACCACCCCGGCTCCCCCACCCCAGCAGATGGCCACTGACTCCACCTTGGAGCAAGGTGAGCCTTGTTGGGTTTTCTAGAACTATCTCAATTTTAGGGCATGAAGCTCCACGGGAAATTTCTCAGCAGATGCAACACTCGTAATCTCACCAGGGCCACTGCTGACGCAAAGGACCCGGGTAAGGACCACTTTGAGGATCCTGATGCCCGAACTTCTGTCCATGCTTCCAAAAGCTGCCAGCAGGACCTAGGACGAGAGAAAATTATGTAATGTCTAGTATGCTGATGATTACAATATCAGCAGCTGTTATCGGACACTGATGAAATGCCAAGCACTCCGCTGAGCCCTTTCCACAAAGACAGGTCAGGTTATAAAGAAAAGGTGTTTTCTGATGGTGTCTATTAAGAGGCTCTGAGGTCCCCTAAAGCAGGCGTCCTTAAACTATGGCCCACAGGCCACATGCGGACTGCCTACCACATTTATCCGGCCCTCCAGGTGTTTTTGCCGCAGCTGCCTGTCCTGCTTAGCAGCCAACTTGTCCCAGGCCCACAGTGTGCACTCTCCAACTGTCTGAGGGACAGTGAACTGGCCCCCTGTTTAAAAAGTTTGAGGACCCCTGCCCTAAAGCATCTGCCCAGTCTGTGGAAATCTAATTCAGTTCTGCCCATGAGAAGGACAACTCTAGAATCAAGCTCTGGAGGTGACACCCTCTTTCACCAAGATGCGACAGATTTGTGGCTTTGGGGAAGAGAAGAGTTGTGAGAATCAGGTGGGTTTGGGGCACTGCTTAGAGAAAGATAGGGGTCTTTCAGCCTTCAGGAATAAGTCCCCAGAAACTCTCGCTTCTGGCTTCACCTCCTGAGGAGAGCTGAGGCAGAGGACTCTATTCGAAGAAATTCCGAAGGGTCATTTTTCTTTTCCTTTGTTATTTTCAGAAGCTGAGATTCTTTGGGAAAGTGTTTTCTTCTTCTCTCACAAGGTGCCGAGCAATAAGATGTGAGACCACATCTGTAGTGTTGAAGACTTTATAACATTTCTATTTAGAAAAGGTTAAGAGTTTCTTATTCTCTGATGCTAGCGTCATTTCAGTTTGTGACAGCTTTTGGGGGCAAGGAGAAACTGAGGCAAACAGAGGTGAAACGACTCATACAGAATCGTGCCAGGAGCCCACAGTACAGGCAGCCAGGGCCCGAATACATATTTCCCCTTCCCTTCTTCATCCAAAGCCTCACCCGAACTGGGCCAGGGACTCACTCTTCATTCCAGCATCTCTTTATAAACACTGTTATTTCTTTCTGTCCCTTATCAGAGTTAGCAATGCTTACATTTGTATGGTACTTTCCAGAGCTTTCCATGCACCTTCTCTTACTTTGTCTCCTTTGTTCTTTCCTAATTTTGTAGGAAAGAAAACTGAGGCTCAGACAGGTGCTGTGGTTTGCCAGAGTGACACAGTTAGCGAGGGAGGGAGCCAGGATCTACACTGAGATCCTCCACACACTGTACTTTTCCTCATGCTGACTTGAGCACCTCATAGGGACTCTGTATGACTTTGGATGAATGAATGACTGAGTAAGTGGATGAATGAAAGATTCTATCTATGGGTGCCTGATGCAGGTCTCAAACTCATGTGTGTAGTAGAGAAACCTTGGGCTGACCTGCTTTCCAAGCAGGAAGGCGGAGGAAAGAGCCGATGCACTCACCCCTTCAACACTGTGATGTCCCTGGCTACGAGCTCACAGCTGTCCCAGCAAAGAGCTCTGGAAGAGGAGCCACGGCCAGCCAGGGCCCGTCCTAACAGTAATGGCCACACTCCCACGTGGCAGGCCTGACTTCAGGGGCTTTGAATCACCGAATCCTCACAGTATCTCTAGGATGTGGTACGATTACTAGCCCCATTTTGCAGATGAGAAGCAGAAACAGAGAATAGAGCAATCTGCCCAAAGTCATGCAGCTGGATGGTCGCAAAGCTGGGATTTGAACTCTGGGGTCTGGCTCTAAGACCTGAACTCCTAACACCACATTAAATTGCCCCCCGTGAGGCCTCTTCATAAATTCATGTCATGCTCTGGGCTTCTGTTTGCCACTAATAATATTTTACACACTCATAGAATCTCTTACCTCATGTAGGTATCCAGGAAATCAATCACTCTTTAAAATAGATCTCTCTGTCTGTGTTCTGCCCTTCTTTCCATTTTTTAGGTAAAAAAAAAAAAAGAATAGGGTTAAAAATGGTACCTGTACTGTATATTATTACTTTAAGGAAAAATAAATACAATACTTAGAATAGTGTCTAGCACATTGTACGCACTTACTAAACACTAGCTACAGTTACTGTGGTTAGTTTGGGAGGGTTGCCATAGGCCAGCATCCTCAGGGCTACCCCCTGGGATTCTCAGGTTTTTCACAGTCATCTCAGCTTCAGCCCTTGGCCAGTTTGAGCAAATACTTTCAGTGAGAAATGCAGGTCAGAGGAAACCATTTGGGGGCTAAGGGGATGCTGTCAGGGAGTGTGAAAAATGCCTTTCTTCTCATGTTCTCCTTCCTACTGCTACTTTTAGAAGCTTTTTTTTTTTTCCACTGCATCATAGCTGTCAGTACTTTTAGAAGCTTGACTCCCATTGTACAGCTTGCTCAGAGCCTGTTCAGAGGTTGACTGGTGCTCCTTAAACTCCCACTGTATAATGGCTGAGGTGGCTACCGAGGCTCTGTGGGCATTCTCCACATTCTAGGCTTTTCCAGACAATGGGGAAGCTCTTACACTAGACAACTATTACACCATGATGAACATCACTGTACTGTGAGTGTTCATCCCAGCTTGGTAGGTTCAACAACAGCCCAAGAGTCTGGGGAAGGAGAACCAGACTCAGCTTTCTATGCCTGGTGCAGAAAAGTTGTTTTGTGTTTTATGCTTACCCATCTTTCTCTTTTTCTCTCTCTTTCTCTCCCCCGCCTTTACCTACCCTTTCCTTCCTCTTCCTCTTGTCCTTCCTCCCTCTAACAATTAAACTAATCCATTTTGCTGCTGAAACTTTCTTTGAGGCGGAAGCCCCCTTCACATCCTGCTTCACTCTGCTTCTCTGTTTAGGGGGTTTCCAACCCTCCCTCCCCCGTCACGTCCTACAGCCGCTGTGGCCGTTCATTGAGTCGGACACCACTCCTCCGTGGTCCCCGCAACGCCTGGTCTCAGCAAGAGACAATTTTAAGAATTACTATTCACGGGGCATCTGAGTGATATTTTCCTAAACAAATTTTGGTGCTTAAAGTGGCTCATTTTTAGAATTCTTATTTTACGGAAAATCATAAATCCCATTTATCAAATGTGCACATGTGTGAAGTAATATCTTAAGTGCTTCACATGCAATATTTAATTTAATTACCCTAACAGTCCTATGAGGTAGATAATATTATTATCCTTGTTAAGTAGATCAACACTGTCTAATAGAACTTTCTGGGATGATGAAAATGTTCTTTTTGTACTATTCGATACAGCAGCCACTAGTCTACCTGGGGCTACGGGGCACTTGAAATGTCATTGGTGTGACTGAGGGATTAAAAGTTTTAATTTTATTTAACTTAAATTAATTTGAATGTACAGATCCACATATGGCTTAAGGCTACCATATTGGACAGTACAGAACTGTAGATCTTCTCAGCGGTCACCAATGTGTGTCAGATGGAGAGATTAAAACTTCATCTGCATCCTCATTCTATAGTGAGGGACACTATAGAATTCACCTCTCGGCTGAGGAATGGCCGATGTGCCCCAAGCATGTTGCCCAACTCGGGCTCAGAGTTCAGCATAGAGCCCCGTTGTGGACTCTTGCCTGGGGCCGCACTGGAGGGAGGTGTTGCCTATCCGGGCAACAACTCTCATCTTCCCTGCAGCCAGAGTTTCTGAAAGGATCATTCACTAGAAATGACCCACCTTGGGACCACAATGTGTTCTTCAGGAAAGGAAGAGGTTAACAAGTTGGAGATACGAGTGTCAGTGAGGTTGCAAAGACATACCAAAGGCCACAGGTAACAGAAAATGACAGAAAGTGGCTGTGCCAACAACTAATTGCCATTGTGCCAAAGAACTTTGATGCCAATAAATCAAAGCCCTCTAGCAAAAATAGAGAAGGGAGTTACATTGCCACCTGTCCCAGCCTGAACTTTGGCCGCCGTCTCGCCGGGCTGAATGCCGAGATGCTAAATATAGTGTTCCCTCATCCAAGAGCAGCATGCAGTCTGACGAGGTGTGTGAACAGCCTTTGGAGAGAATGCAGGGATATGCAAAGTGCTGTCACGGTGGAAGACACACCTCCGGAGGCAACTGGAGGCCAGTTTAGTACCTTTTCAGAGAGGGCATTTTCGAAGATTCCAGGGGATTTTGCATTACATGAGCTTCTGACATACCTAATGTAACAGAGATTATCTCCAAACTTTATCTGGAGAAAGAGCTCTACAATCTAGAATTAAGTTACTGAGATTACTTAGTTGACTGTTGCTGATGGCTTCTGTATTATTCAGGATTCTCCATAGAAATAGAGCCAATAATATATATCTTAGTGATGGGTGTGTATGTGTGTGTGTATATATATATATATATAAAATATATTACTATATATGTGTGTCCTATTGATATATTTATAAATAATTTATTATCTTTATGTATAGATAATATATATCTTAATATATATCCTGATATATTTATATATATCTTAATATATATCCTACTGATATATTTATATATATCTTAATATATATCCTACTGATATATTTATATATATCTTAATATATATCCTATTGATATATTTATTATGAGAGATTTGTTATGAGGGATTGGTTCACATGATCATTGGGCTGAGATGTCTGACATGTCATCTCCAACCTGGAAACCCAGGAAGGCCAGGGATGTAGTTAAGTTTGAGTCGGAGGCCTGGGAACCGGAGGAGCTAATGGTGTAATTCCCGGTGTCAAGGCAGGAAAAAGTTGGTATCTGAGCTCAAGCAGCCAGGCAGAGAAGGGAAAACTCTCCTTCCCTCCATCTTTTGTTCTCTTTAGGCGCTCAGTGGATTGGCCGATGCCCACCCCCACGGGGAGGGTAATGTGCATGACTACATGCACCGATTCAAGTGCTATTCTTATCTAGAAACACCCTCACCCACATGCCCGGAAATAATGTTTAACTGAATATCTGGGTGCGCCCTTGATGCAGTTGTTAGGTTGACATATAAAATTAACCATCACAGCTTCCTTCTGTACAGACGGTGTTTCCGAGGCCCAGTCCCTCCCCCAGAGTCAGAAAACACTAACGTTGGGAAGACCCTGACCGCCGGTGAGGTCAGAGGTGAAGAGGGAGGCACAGTGGAGGCAGACGCCTGATTCCTAGTCTGCGCCCTGTGTGACCTGAGACAAATCGCTCAACTTCTCTGAACTGCTTTCCCGCCCTGGCTGGGCCTCAGGATCACCCGAGTTGCCGTGTAAATCCCGAAGGCCACCTCTCACTGACCTACTAACTAAAGTCATGGGCGGTGGGCCCGCCAGTCTCCACAGCTGCAAAGCTGCTGGGATTCTGAGTTGCAAGCCGCTGGGGACTGTGGGAAGCTGATTCAGGTTCTTGTCACTCCGGCCTCACTGCTGTCCTGATGTGTCTAGTAACAGGTGACTCACCCAGAGCACGCCCATCTTCTCAGCCATCTTTGCCTGTTTTCTAGTGGACCTTGTCTCAAGAAGCCAGCCTGGCAGACTAAAACCCTCCGAGTGTAATTCCCATCCCTCCCACTTTCCCTCTCTTTGGACTATTTTCCACAGCTCTGAAGCCCTGGGTGGGGGGTAGGGGGGACAGGAAGCTTAGAGTACAGAAGACATAGGTGCTGGTTTTGTACCCACTTTTGATCCAGACTATCCCAGTGTTTCCCCATAAACTTGATGTTGACTATTCATTTGTGGTTTCAAATAATTGCCATTTAATTTTCATCACGTTAAAACACTTTCCCATTCCTAACTAGCTAAAATGTTTGTTTTTTAACTTTAACTTTTACTATTTTGGTAAATCATAAAAAGTTGTGTGTTTATCAAATGTCTTCATAGCATTTATTAAAAGGATAGAAATAATTTCCCCTTTGGCCCATTAAGTGCTATTTCACGATTAGATGTCCTGATATGAAACCAACCTTGCATTCTGCATTTCTATAGCAAATCTTACTTGATGATAATAGATTGGGCAACATTATTCTGGGGCGCGTGTGTGTGTATTTTCCCTCAGTTGGACAGCAAGACTATTCTGCCTTCTTAAATGGTGGAAGGATTCTTTTTTTTTTTTTTTTTAACACTGAAACTGTAAAATGACATAGGAATTGTCTATTCCCTGAAAATTTGAGGAATGAGAAAATCACTTATCCCTAGGAGCCTTTTCAGAATATTAGAGAGATATTCTTGGATAACTTTCAAATACTATCTCAAGGTTACAAATCTTTTCAGGTTATTTATAAACTTGATTCATTTTCAACCATGTTCATTTTTGTCAGAAAATCAACAGTATTTTTAAATCGATTGACATAAAATTCTACATCATGATTTTATATTTCTAAAACCCCGTTTTTATTTCTAATTTTATTTGGGTTTCTCTACCATATCTTCCAAAGGTTGGGTCAATGTAAACCCATCCCCCCAAATAGAACAATTTATTTACTTTATCATCTTGCCGGTTTTCTGGTTTATTTTATAATTCACTAACTGTTCTCTTTATTACTTTCTTCCTCCTATTTTGGTGAGGCTTTTTTTTTTTTTTTTGCCTTTTTCTTTCTAAGATCTATGAGTTGACTGCTTAATTCATGTTATTATTCTATCTTGTTTAACAATGAATGCATTTGAGGCTATGGGTTTGTCTGAGTATAGCCTTTTAAATTTTGCAAATATTTTAGAAGAAGGAAATCAATATTTATTGAACATGTACTCTGTCAGAGGCTGCACTGAGTGTTTCACATCCCTCCTCTTTTGTAACTGGAAGGACTGTCCTGCTTGGGAAGGCTGTTGAGGGACTGCCAGAGAAAGTCCAGGGGCCAGGCACCCAGCCCTCAGCAAGGCTCTGATGCGTGGCCACCACTGCCTGGTTGTCTCGTCGTTTGATTGTCCCAACTGTCCTTACATTTTGTGTTATTGTTCCCATTTTACACATGAGGAAACAGAGGCTTAGCAAAGTGAAGGAAATGGCTCAAGGTCTCAAGGTCACCCAGGGAGACATGTGGGGCCAGGATTCCACACCAGGTCTGTCTGGACATGCTCTCCAAGCACCGCCCCCCACCCCTGCCCTGGGGACCCCTGGAGGGAAGAAGAAGAGCCACGACTGGGGGCAAGGAAACAGCAAAGCTGTCTTTATTCCTGGTGGGAAAACCCCAGGGCCTCCACCTCCTCTTTACTTCTTGTGCGTGCAGGACCTTAAGCGTCCTGCTCCTGACAGCAGGCCTCCTTTGAGACCGTGAGTCCCTTTTTCCAGTAGAAGAGGAGACAGTGAGAGGCTGCGGAAGTGCCCCAAGCTGTGTTAAACGCGGTCCATGAGGGTCCCTGCACACACAGCCAAAGCCCCTCCCCGGTGTCCCTCCCCGCTTGCTTGTGTTCGGGGAGACCCCACGTCCTGCCCATCATGGCTCTGCAGGGGGTCGGCCTTGGTGCTGCCCCAGAGTCCCCCCCGCTGAGAGGGCCTGGGCCTGAGTGCGCCTCTCCTGGAGCCGGGCAGGGTCAGGCACTGGTGGAGAAAGCGGTGGGAGGAAGCCTGGTGCGATGACGCCCGCAGCTGGGCCAGTGTCTCTGCAGGCGGGCACACCTTCCTTTGCCCCTTCATCCACGTCTCCACCAGGAAACTGTCAGTTTGCGAAGAGCTGGCAGGTTCCACAAGGAGCACGCCTGTGTACATTAAGCTGTTGAGCAAACGAATCCGTTTCCACTTTGCAGGCCTACTCTCTGGGGACTTATTTGTTAATGTGAAAAGAAATGATACAGGATCAGTTACCAAATTACACAAGCTTATACACAGAAACCCAGGAAGAGCTGCGCAGAGAGGAGGATAATCCTGCAGGCTCCTGGTGGGGGCGAGTCTAGAGAGCCGGCAGGCGTCGGGTGGGAGCCAGACCTCCGGCCCAGCGCTCTCCCAAGGTGCCCCGGGAAGCCCTTCAGGGACTCACAGTGCTCATGCCCGCTGACCGTGCCCCACTTTCCCCAGAAAGGGCCCTTTCTGTGGCTGGTGGCTGCTGTGTGTGTTGGAGGCTGGGGAAGGACCAGGCACCGGGTCACAGTTCCTGAGAAGAGGGGCTGAGGCCTCCAGGCTCTCACTGTGCGTTAGCCCGGGGGTGGCCAAAGAGATGGCCACACAGGCGTGCACACCTGTATCCCGGTGGCCAGGCTCGAACCTGGAGTCCAGGATGCCTAAGCTGATTTCTGAGAGATTCCATTTGCCAAGAAAAGCCTTATTATGAAAAGCGGCAGTACTTTAATATATTTATAAAAGTCTCCTCCAATAATTATATTCTATTTATTTTTAATGATTTGTTTATAACCTCTCAATAAAACACTGGCCTGTAGGGATGGGAATGGCTATTGGCTACAAGGATCCTGAGTCCTTGTTTGTGTCATCTCCTGGTACGCTCTGCTCATGCACTGAGGGCCCGTCTCCTTGGTGACGTCTGCACCCCCTCGTCACCTGCCGTGCTGACAGCAGCAGAGCCTGCAGGAGGAGGGGAACTTTCCCAACCTGGATTTTAAGTACCCATTTAAGAATTAACCTCTACCCCTCAAAGACACAGTGCATGCTGTCTTAGGCACCACACCGGGACATAAGGACATGAAGGACACTCATAGCTTTTCTCCCTCTTTCCCACAAAGGATTTATCCAACGGCTCCCCTCACTTCATCCTGGAAGGTGTAAGCAGATTTGACATCCAACAAGGAAAGGCAGGTAAGAACTCAACGTCTTCCCTCCCAGCCCTGGATGAGAGCAGGCTGCCCGAGTCACGGCACTGGGTGGGGACAGTGGAGGACGGTGCCCACCCACAGAGTTCTACCCAGCTTCTGAAGGGCAAGGCTGGCTGCCTGGAAGCTGCTGTGCCCAGCCCTGCAGCCTGCAGCCCCTTTCCTGTGCCCAGACACCCGCCTACCCAGGAGTGGGTGTGCAGGGCCCTTTGGGGTGAGGGATTCTCAAAGGAAGAGAGAAAACAAGCTCGGTGTTTAGTCTGAGCACTGAGGACAGGGAGGTATCAGCTGCTGAACGAGAGGAAGGAAAGGGAGACAGGAAAAAGGAAAGAAATGAGCATCCAGGATCTGCAACGGCTGCAGGAGACACTTTGCACGTGCGGTTCCATTTACTCCTTGCAATGCCCCTGTCTTATATATGTGGAGATGGAGAGCCCAAGAGGCAAAATCATTTACTTAATGTCACATAATAAGTAAGTGACAGAGTTTAGAATCCAGGACTGCCTGACTCCTACCCCACCACACAGACCCAGAGCAAGGGAGCTGCTCAGAGCCAGAGGATGTGGACAGGACGACCCTGGGCGGTCCCAGGTGTGGCCAAGAGAAGCCCGGGAAGGAGGCGCCTAGGAGTGGAGTGCGCGGCTGGTGGCCAGGGAGGGGAAAGTGGACCGGAGTGGGAGGAACCAGCAAAGACTACAACCCCTCAGAGAATGGACTCTAAGCCTTCAAAATGTGGCTTTACAAATGACTTATACCTGTCCTTGGACTTCACCTGGTAGAATCAGTGTGTCTTGGACAAATTAATAGAAGCCTGCCCGGTCACAGCCAACGATCCCCCAGTTAGGGTTTCACCTACGAAAACCACAAATCGGTTTTGCCCATTGCCACCAAGGTGGGCAGTGAAATTCATTGTAACTTTGGCTGCCACAAAGATCAGGGGGCAGGTTGACCCTCCCGGCGCTGCCAAAGCTTGGCTGGGGCTCCCTGCCCTCCGCACCAGCCACCCCCCGCCCCCCACGGCCACCACGGCCACCACCTGGAACTGGCCTCAGTGAGTCCTTTCCCGAATTCCCCTCTCTCAGAGGAAAGAAAACAAAACAAAACAAAACAAAAAAAAACACAAAAATGCATTATTCAGAAGGAGGTGTGCAGACTCTGGAGGCAAGGGCCTGTGAAATTATGGGATGGGGCTTCCAGATGTGTCCAGTCGGCCTCTCCCAGCTTATATCCCCTCACAGGAGACTGCTGGTTCCTGGCAGCGCTGGGCTCCTTGACTCAGAACCCACGGTATCTGCAGAAGATCCTGATGGTCCAAAGCTTTTCACACCAGTATGCGGGGATTTTCCGTTTCCGGGTATGTGCATCGCTGCGATTTTCCTTATATGATGGGGTTGTCTGTGAGCGCAGGGGAGGTTAGAGTCTTGGATTTTCTCACGGCCTGGCAGCCTCAGATGTGGAGGGCACTCACGTTACCCCGCCTCCCTCCCAAACAGGATTTGAGCTTATGACCTGACAACACACAGGAAGGATGAGAATTAAAATATTTTCGTGTAAATAAAAGTGGCAGACACAATAGACACAGGCGGCATTGATGGAGAACGCTGTGACTGCCGTGGAGTTTTTGCCTCCGCATCGATTCCTGTGCCATATTGTGTTATTTTGATTACAGTAGCTTAATAGGAAGTGGCAACATCTGGTAGGATAAGTTATCCTTCATCATTCATTATTCTTTTCTCAAAACTATCTTGGTAATTCGTGCACATTTATTCTTTCATGAGCATTTTAAAACCATTTTGTCTAATTAAAAAGAAAATCCCTTGTGATACAGAATGGAGCAGACCTAAATTTGTGAGTTAATTTGGAAAAATTACATTTTTATTATTTTAATTAGTCCTTTCCAGAAACATGGTATACCTTTCTATTTATTCAGAACTAGTTTTATGCCCTTCAATAAAATGTTATAGTTTCATTCTCATACTGGTGCTGTACTCTTCTTGGTAAATTTATTCTCAAGTATTTTACAATTTTGTAACCGATGTAAATGAGGTTTTCTTCCCCTCATTTCTAACTAGATGTTGCTGGAAAGAGCACAGCTACTACTTATTACATATTAAACTGCATCTAGCCACCTTACCAAATTCTTTTATTACTTCTCATTTTCTACTTTAGCGGAATCTGGGTTGTTTTAGTTACTTAATATCTGCAAATAAAGATAATTTTGTCTCTCCTTTTAATATTCATAGAACTTATTTTGCTCTTTCTGCCTTGTCATGTTAGTTAGAGCCTCAAAATTTTGAATAAGAGTGACAAGAGTTAAATCCTACCCTCTCTTGATTTTAATAATGTGCTTTCCTGATATGCTGTTCTTTTAGTACACTCTTGGATTCAAGTTGCTACAAATTTTATTAGAATTTTTGTGCCTAGATCATGGGTAAAATTGGTTTCTAGTGTATGTTATTTTTAACATATTGGAGTTATGCTAGCTTTTTAAAATAACTGACTGAGCTTTACACATGTTTCTTTGATTTGAAATAATTTGAATAATGATTACTATGATTACTAATCATTGATTATTTGTTCTTTGAAAGTAAAATAGACAATAGTTAAATTACCTGGGCCTGCCTTCTTCTTAAATGTGATTTCTTTAACTCTTCCGATGTATTCAATAGCTATTGATCTACCTGGTTCTCTTATTTCTATTGGAATTAATTCTTGAAATTTATACTTTACTAGAAAAATCAACAGTTTCTTCAGTTTTTCCACATATTGCCATAAAGTTACTCATATGATTCTCTGATAATACATTTAATCTCTTTTAATCTGTGGCTAAATCTATTCTTTCAATCCCAGTGCTATATTTTTTCCTTTTTTTGTTTTTCCTTTTTTCTTAATCCAACTTTTCTTTAACCAATCTGTTGTATTGTTTTTAACAAATCAACTTTTGATTTTCATTATTCTTTCTACTCTTTTTCTTTTGAGATTTTATTTACTATATAATTAATTTCAATTTTATCTTTATTAATTCCTTTTTACTTTCTCTTGGTTAATTTGTTTTTTAATTTTCTGAAACTGCACACTTAATATTCTTAATCTTTTTTAATGGTAAACGCTTTTAAGAATATAAATTTTCTTCTGTGATCTTATCTGTATCTATAGATTTTGATATAAAATGTCTTATTTTATTGATTTTCAAGATAATATATTTTTAGTTTTGATTTATTCTTCCATATAGAGCTGTTTCTTTAAAGCCTATTTAATTTTCAAGTGATTAAGTTTTGTAAGGAGTAATCTTTTGGTTGCTAAGTTTTAGTTGTAATGCATTATATTCAGAGGATATAATTCATAAAATGTCTATATTTGGGGAAATTATTAAAGTAGTTTTGCTTATGGCCAAGTCCATGGCAGTTTTTGTAAATGGTTTATGGCCATGTAAGAATGCATATTATCCTGTGGTCATGAGCTTTACATATTGAATCAAACTTATTTGCAGATTGTATTATCTGCAATTATTTTATCTTTGCTTATTTTTTGTTTGCTTGATTTGTCAAATTGTAAAAGAGGTAAATTGAATTTCTTCTCATTGCTATTGTCTGGAGAGTTCTTCTTAAGTTTTCAGATGTTGTGGCTTTACCTTTCTCCTGGTATGTCCTTTGGTGCCCAAAGGTTTAGATCCTTCTATCTTCTTGTTGGAATAAAACTTGTATAATATCACTATGTGTTATATTTAATGCTTCTGGCCTTGAATTTCCTTTTATTTGATAGTCATATTGCCGTTTCAGCTTCCTGCTGTTTGCATTTTCCTGTTTTATCTTTGTTCATCTTTTTATGATCAATTTCGTTTTCATTTTTATAGGTATATGTTTCTTATAGAAAGCATATTTAAAACTCATTGTTTACCACTGTTTCTTCCACCCTTCATTTCTTCTTAAGATTTTTGTTATAATTTAACCTTCATTTGATAGAAGTAGTTCCTTGAATTATTTTCTCAGAATACATGAGTTTTTTATTTGCTCTTACTTAAGAATGATATTTTAGTTCAGTTTAGGATACTTGGATCACATTTATTTTCCTGAAATGTTTGTAAACATTGTCCCATTGTCTTATAACTTCCAATGTTGCAGAAGAAAAATTCAATGTTAATCTATTTTCTTGACTTCATATGCAACATGTTCTTTTAAACTGCAAATCTGTAAGATGCATCTTTCTCCTTGGAGTTCAGACATTTCTCTAGAACATATCCAGATGGCCTTTTAAAAATCAATCTTGCCTGAAATTCAGTGAACTTTTTCAACCTGAAAAGCTACATCCTTCTGCTCAACTAAGTTTCCTTTTTGTTATTTCTAGGCCCCTTCCTTTATCTTATTCTTGCCTCCTAACATCCCACTGTTTGCATACTGGGTATCCTGACAGGCACCCAGGTGATCCTACTGCTGCTGGCCCAAGGACCCTATCTAGGAGTGAGCTAGTGGATCCAGGATTGAGCTGTGTCTGGGCTCACCCCAGGGGTACCAGTGTTGGTGGGAGTTAGGTGGTTAGGACAACTTGAGACCCAAGTAGGACACACTCTGCCCTTTGGGGTAACAAAGAAAGTCACACAGTTTCTCAGAAGCAGCTGCAGTGGGGCTGACTTCCGTAGATCTCATTGCCATGAGCTCAGGGACTGATCTCTGGAAGGCACCCAGTGCCTGGGGCACCTCCGACGCTTTGCCCAAAACACTTCTGATGTCCCTGTCAGACCCTTTAATTTTTGCAAAATAGTACCAGCATGGTTCTTAGAGGGTACAGACATTATCCAAATGCCAGCCCTTCTCACCCAGAGATGTGAATCAGGGAATGCAGGTTGGTGGCCTCATGCTTAACCACCAGGCAAGCCACTTGCATCCTCTCTGGGAGTGGCAATCTTATCTGATGTCCCCTTTATATAGGGAGAGAGTTTGGTCAGCATTACTGGCGGGAAGATAGGGGTGAGGGTGACTTCTGAGATGAACTAACCAGAAGAGTTCATTCAAGCCAGCACTCACTCGGTCCTGATGGCCTACTGTGTGTCCCGGGTGCTGAACAAAACAACTATTGATGACCAGTCTCTACTCTCAAACTATGATCTCACTTTCACCACCTCAGCCTGTGAGGCAGTTCTTCTGCTTCCTGTCATGTGACAGATTAGGAAACTGAGTCACAGAGAATAAAGTGTCTTGTTCAACATCTGTTGTTTGGGTAGCAAGAAGCAAAACCAGAATTTAAGCAGAGTTCTACCAACTGGATGCTGTCTACTATATGTTGCTACCCAATTAAGCACAAAATCCATATCGTCCTTCCAGTACCCATTTTTGGGGGCTGGATTTTACTTTGCTCAGTGTTCAGACGTGTTTTATGATCTCCCTCTTAATAACATCCCTGTGGCCCCTCAGCCTCACTGCCTGTGCCTCTTACTGCTCGCTCACTGTAATAGGAACACGAGTCCACAGCTGTGCGGAACCTCCACAGCGCGCTGGCTCATTAGTGACTGTGAGAACCTCTGCTTTGCTTTGTCTCAGCTGACATCTCTGTCCCAGTCTCCACCTCTGCTCTAAAAGCGAGTCCTGGGCTGGATGTGACAGCCCGACATCTGGGGCATCCAGCTGCGGAAAAGGCCACGCGGATGAGAGATCACATCCACCCAGCATTCTGCAGAGCCCCCGGGCGGACGCTGGCCTTCATCAGGGCTCGGGCCTGAAGCCGGAAGCCCTGCTGCTTCTCCTGCACAGGGAGACTCCAAAAGGCTGGCTTTATTATGAATTTTCCTCATTTGGCGGTGTCCCCGGGTGAACCATTTAGAGTTGAATGCTAAAGATTAAAACAGTCTGTTTTGGAGAGCAGCATCTGGTTCATTTGCGCTCTTAGCAGTAGCAGTGCCAGCCAGATTCCTTTCTGCTGCTCTAACGGCAGGGCCGGCTTGACAGGAGAGGGGAAGGCCAGCGCGAGTCTGTCACTGCCCGGTCCTTCCGAGCCATCCGTGTCATCCGCCTCCAGGCCTTTGCCCACGCTGTCCCCACCGTCTGGGATGCTTCCCTATCTCCTCGCCACCTGCTTAAATCCTTCAGCTGCTGGTGGCTCTGCCTCTCTCGTGCCAGCCTTTGTCATTAGCATTTGCTCCCTACCACCTTCTGAGCATGAGAAGTACCTAGAGAGTCTCGCGTGTGTCTCTGAAGCTCACAAAGGACTTGCCCAAGTGAGGCCACAGATAGTAGCAAGGTCAAGCTAGAACCCAAGTCTCCTTCTTCCCTACCTGCATTTTCCTTGACTAACTTGGTCTGTGACTCATTTTCTCCACCTGCCAGTGGAGAGGACATGTCTGTCCCTGGCCCAGCAACCTGGGCTGGGATTTTGTTCTGGAGAGAATTCACTCTTGCACCGTGGAGGTCATGTTGCCACTGTGGTTAGCTTTTGGCTTGGGTTGGAGGGTCCCTGCTACCCTACTGCTGTTAAGGCACATGCTTGGCTCTCTTCCAGTTCTGGCAGTGTGGCCAGTGGGTGGAAGTGGTGATTGACGACCGCCTGCCTGTCGTGGGCAAAGAATACCTCTTTGTGCATCCACGAAATGACAACCAAGAGTTCTGGCCCTGCCTGCTGGAGAAAGCCTACGCCAAGTAAGTAGGGGCCGGGCCCTCAGCCCGGCCCGCCCAGCAGCTCGACTGGTCAAGCTCGGTCAGGTACCCCTGGTCCCATCAGCCGTGACCAGACTCAAGCAGCTCTAAAGATGGTGGCCAGGGCAGCCGCCGTGTGGGCGGGAGCTGAGGAGGGGACAGTTTCCCTTGGAATGTCTGTGTGTGAGGCATGCGCTGAGGGGGACACGCAGAGCTGGAGTCGTCACTAACAGGTGAAAGTGCAGAGGGCCACACCCTCGAGGGGAAAATGAGTAAGAGTTACAGAGGCAGAAGGTTCCAGAGACCATCCTACCCAGCCCCCGTCTCACACGTGGGGACACTGAGCCTCCAGCTAGTGCTGGGATGGCAGGTATGAGTGGTTAGCCTGGATCTCCAGTCACTTGACTGGGGACATCAGTTAGCAAGATGCTCAAACCTCGCATAATCAGCCCTTGCTGAATTCGGTCCTGGCCCCAGGGTTACTAAGAGCACCACAGTCTGGCCAGATCCCGTCCTTCTGGAAGTCGCCACCTAAACAGTGAGATGTCTCAAGACCTCTTTCTGTGCATTCTGTCTTTTGAGGCAACTCATGAAAAGCTCACATTTTTGCTTATTTCCAGTGTCAGGGGGAGCTGTTCATTAGCATTTGAGAATGAAGCCCAGATAACAGCCAAGGTTGTTGAGCCAATCCACGTGTTTGGGAGGTTAATTCACTTCTAAGCTACTTACACAAACACTGCTGTTATCTTCCCAGTATAAATTCAGCCCTCATCACTCCAGGGCCTCGTGTTTTCCTTGCGTAAAAGGAGGTAGCGTGGTGGCTCGCCGAGAGGATCGGAAAGCTTGCAGGATGAAATGATGACTTTGACCCCGTTTTGTTAACAGATGACCTGAAACAATCATTCAGCTAGAACAGAAATGGGAAAGTGGACCCAGAGTCCACATTGCACCCCCTGGAGAAACCTAGCAGAGGACAAAATGCTTCAAACTATTAAACCTATTTAAGCCATCCTCCCCCATCTAAAGAAGAAAGTTCTGGAATGCAGGAGTGAATGAAATAGGATTATAGCATTTTAGATCTGAGAGGGACCTCTGTCAACACTGCACCCTACCTTCTTCCAGGAAAGATGAGGAAACTGAGGCTCAGAGGGGTGAAGTGACTTGCCCAAGATCATGTCGTGTTTGAGGCCAGGAGGGGGCGAGCCCACTTCTCCCAGGTCACGGGACTTTACACATCCATCGGTGCCATCAGTCCTGCAGGAAAAGCACTGTCTTTGCTTCCTCTGGAACTCAGTGCTGGCACGCAGGACTGTGCACACAGACAGGTCCTCTTTCCCCCCAGGGTGCAGACTACAGCCTCGTGCGCCTTCCCTTATGCTCGCGGCTGGGGAGTCTGAAAATGAATTGGTCAAGTCCGTTGAATGTCCATGATTGTGGTTTTGTTTTCCCCAGAGGTCGTGAAATAGAGAGGCGATTGAGTGACAAGGTCCGGCAGGCTGCACGCTATCCTTTATGGGATCTCTGTGGCATTGCAGCATCCTTTCTGGTGCTGGCGAGACCTCGGAACCCTTCCCTCCTTCGTACATTGCCGAGCAGAGAGACCTTTCCCCCAAGTGAGGCTGAAGCAGAGGAATGAGGACAGGCTTTCTCAGAATTCCTGGTTCAGGTGACAAGGAACAGTGACAGCTGTGGCGAACAGGGTTCTTTCTTTCCTTTCCTTTCTATCTGCTGTCAGCGCAGGGGGCTAAGAATAGTTGCCGTGTCCCTGAAGCATCAGCAGGCTCTGCGAGCTCGTGTTGGTAAGGCAGAAAGAGAGCGCCTTGTCAGGACACCCAGCTGCAGCTGGGACAGGCTTTGCGGGCGTCGAGGACAGTGAGAGAAGCCTCCGGGAGAAGCCCAGCGGGGCCGCCGGCCGCAAGTGGAGGAGTCCTTCCCACTGGGCCGGGTGTCCCTGTGGTGACTGCAGAGCACTGTGGTGCCAGGCAGCAGACGAGGCCCACAGACACGGGGACAGTGGCCATGTGGCTGTGAGGGAGGGAGGGGACTGTCCCCACTGCTGCTGCTCTGGAGTGGCTTTGGCACAGCCCCGTTTGAAGCCAGGGAGGACACCTGAGTGTATACCCAGCAGGGGCTGTTGCAGTGAGCAGGCGGTGGCACTGGGGGGCGTGGCCTTGACCCCTGTCCTTATGCACTCAGCAAAGCCCTCTGCAGGTAAGAACAGGAGCCAGATACATGTGGGACGTCAACAGAGTCCAGCACCAGGACCCCGCTGAGCGCACCCACGGCCAAAGGCAGGGTCTGTGGTTGACTGAGCAAACCCCCCAGAGATAAGAATCCCTCACTCGTCGCAACCCGGGTCAGAGCGAGGGAGCAGGGATAAGATCAGCACCAGTGTTAGAACAAGTGGAGACAAATCTGCCACATGGTAGTTCCCGTGGAATCGCCCCTTTGTTGGGTGCCCCCTTGGCTTTCCTTAATAAAAGGCTTTCTAAGCTCTTCCTTCGTGCCTGGGACAGTGTCTTGCTCACAGTGGCTGCTCACTGTGTACTTGCTACAGTGAACGTTCTGGAATTCTGGGTGATCTCCCAGAGGAGAGAATGACGGAGGTGGAAACAAGAGAGAAGGGAGTGTCTGAAGGGTTTCTAGAGCCGAGCCAGCCCACCAGCTGTTTCCACTCGGAAGGCTGAGGTCAGGGAGGGGAGGGGTCTTGTCCAAGATTGAAGACCCCGTTAGAGGGAGCAGCAGGGAGGACTCAGGACCTGCCCCTGTGTGACTTTGTGTCACTGGAACCAAAGCCACAGGCGAGGCTTCCCGGCCACCCGTGGCCCAGTGAAGGGCTCTGCCTCCACCTGCCCGCCCGGGACGGGAACGCGGGCCCCTGGTGAGAAGCCCTCGTGGCAGAGGCAGCAGTCAGCCACGGGGCGGCTCTGATGCCAGGAGGCAGCCCCAGGGTCCTGCCCGGCCTGGCCTCAGCTCCACGTCCTTTGTCGGTTTGTCCTGCCTGTGTTTTAGGGTTCCGTGGGAGCCCTCCCAGTGTACCCCACTGACAGGAACGGGAGTTCTCAAAGCAAACCTGACTGTTGGTCCCCTGTGTCACTGGTTCCATTGTGACTGATCAAGCCACCCTCTCTCCCAGGGAGCACAGGGCCTCCTGGTCTTGCCCTGCCTGTCTCCCCAGAAGCAGAGGCCCCATGGGCAGGTGGGAGGACAGGAAGAAGTGCTTTGGAGAATAGGCATGAGAGTTTTAAGTGGCTGAATTTTGGGGTGTGTTATATAAGACTTATCCTTACCTATGTTACCTTCAGTAAAGTCAGCTCTCCTCCCTAATGATTTGGGGGTAAGTGGGTAACTCTGGGGCTGGGACCTCTGGATCAGGGTTTGCACAGAGAGAGAACAGAGCCTTCCCATGGCCATAGGGCTGTGACACAGGCTCTTTGAGGGCAAGAATGGGGTCTTGCTTGTCTTTTAACACACACCAGGCATTGTCTCTGGCCCACAGTCAGTACTTAACACTGTTGCTAAATGGAACAGGAAGCAGTAGAGACTCCTGTAAGGACAGTGAGGATTCCCTAAGGGCTGGCCACGTGCCAGGCACCATGCTGAGCACAGCCCTGCCAGGGTAGGTCACATGCCCAAGGTCAAGCAGCTAAACTTGTGATGAAATTGGGATTTGCCCCCCGGTCTGTGGCTCTGGCACCTGCACTCCCAACCTCTTCATGATGCTACCTCTTGTGGGGCTGTCCAGGCCCTGGGCACCAGGGGAGGAAGGTGGAGAGGGCAGTACAAGTCCCCAGATGGGTGGATATCGCTGGAATCTCCATCCAGGCGAACAGGAGGCTGGTGGCCATGGTCCAGAGTGGATCAGGCAGTCCCTCACCTGGGAAACGTGCACAGGGTCAGCGTACAGCCTCCCTTCCTGAGTGTCTCACCAAAGGCACCCAGGGGCTAATCCAGCTTTACCCTCCCAGGCTGCTCGGATCCTATTCCCACCTGCACAAAGGCTACCTCCCGGACGCCCTGGTGGACCTCACGGGCGGCGTGGTCAGCACGATCCACCTGAGCTCCTCCCCTTCCCACCTGCTGACGGTGGTGAAGACAGCAGCCATGGAAGGCTCCCTGATGACCTGTGCCACCCCAAAGAGGGTGAGTAGACAAGGCGGCCCTTCGTACTGGCTGCATGTTCTGTGCTCAGCCAGGGGCCTGTTCTGTTAGAGGGGGAAATGGCAAGTGGCCTCTCTGGAGCATGGGTGGCCTGCTTTTCCAAGTCACCTCATTTAACCCTGCGACAGCCTCCCTCTGGGGCAGAGAAGGCAGAATTCACTTCATAGGAGAGAAACCAGGCTCAGAGAGGCTATGTAAAGTGCTCACTGTCACACAGCCAGTAAGTGGCTGGGCCTCCAATGGTGCTGATGCCAAAGCCCCGACCTATTACACCGTGGTGACCAGGAGCCATAGGGCCCAGAGTGGTGGGGGCTTTCCCATCCATCATTTTGCCTTAAGTTTACAGGAAGCCCTGGGGCCCTCCAATTCTCCCTGGCTCTAAAGGCACACCCCAAGGGCAGCTGTCCCGATTTGAAAGCTTGGACGACCCCCCAAATTATTTGAGTCTGTTCTTTGGATCGGGCTCCCTATCCACGGGGATGCTTCCTTGAAACACATGGGCTTTGCAACATGCATCCCCGATCCAAAGTGACACCAGAAACCCAAGATACAGTTTAATCCCCAACTACTTACAGCACAGGGGGTGGGCACTCCTGACCCCCGCAAGTGACCCAGCAGGCATGTTTGGGTCTCACTGAGGACAAATGGACGGCGGAGTGAGCAGCAGGTCCTTGGGACTCTGCTGGGCTCCGTCATGGGGGTGGTCTCCCGAGGCATGAAATCCCTGGAGCCTCGCCCACCCAGCAACCCTCCCACTCCTCTCTGGAAAAGAGCTCCAGGCCCTCGCCATCCCCAAGTGAGTCAGCGTTGGGCTGTGTGTGTCTGTCTCTCGGAAGAAGCTGTGGATGTCTAATGCTTGCTCTGCCTGTCTGTTTGAAGGACACAAGCTCGGCGGTGATGGCGAACGGGCTGGTGAGTGGGCACGCCTACACCGTGACCCGGGCCGAGCAGGTGAGGCCGCCCCGTCCTGGCCAGCTCCCCACTGGCCTCTGCCCAGCAACCAGCATTCTTGTTCCTGTAAGCAGGAGCCAGAACTGGGTGCCTCCAGCGAGTCCAACAAAGCCGAAATGAGTATCTATGACCCTTGCCCCCTCAGTGGCGCCCACCAGGGACAGCCGCAGTCTTCTGTTCATCCAGAAGTTCTGGCACCCAGTAACTTCCTCCCCCAGGAATCCTCCCGAGGTCTTGCTGTCCTTGCGCTGATCTCAGGCAGGTCTGTGTCCCTAAGTAGACTAAGGGACTAGCCCTAAAAGCAGGGGCAATGTTTTGCCTGGAAAGGGGTTTTATTTGTTATGCACAAGTTAAGCTGCTGTGACAAAGACACTCCAAAATACAGGGGCCTAAACAAGACGAAGCTCCTTTCTCTCCCAGGTGAGCAGGTGGTGCGGGGCTGGTAGGTGGCTCTGCTGTCCCCCACGTGGGGCCTCCGCCTGTGAGCCCAAGACAGCTGCTCCCGGTTCCCCAGCTCCCAGCCAGGGGGAGGGACAGAGGCCACACTCACGCACACATATGCAGGGAGCAAATTGGAAATGGGGAACTTCATTTCCTCTCGCATCCCGTTAGCATGAACTTGATCACAGGGCCACACCGAGGCCCAAGAGCGGCTGGGAAATGCACTGTCTGGCTGGGCCGCCACATGCCCCGATGGCACTTCCTTCTCATGGAAGGGGGAGCACGGCATTGGAGGACAGACTGTCCCCTTGATGGAAGAACTGACCTTGGGGGACAAAAATGTACATAATTGCCGTGCACAGTATAGGTTGGGCTGGAAAACAGCACAAAGTCCAGACTCCTCTGCTTATAAAGGAGGAAGCTGAGGCCTTTCACAAGGTTACACAGACAGTTACCTGTGACACACTGGCCCGACACCTCGCCTCAGTGTCCGCCCGTGCGTGTCAGGCAGCCGTGCGGTGACAGCGCTTCCTGGCCTTGTCGTGGTTTCCTGCACACATCCCCCCGTCTCCGTATTTCCCACAGCTCTTGTGATCTAATAATGTGCTCCAGGCCCTGAGAGCAGAGCTCCCAACTCCAGGGTGCATTGATCCCAGTCCTTACAGACCACGGAGCGCGGAGTGTCGGGCTCTGCGTGCGGCTCTCACACCCGCCCAGCCTCTCTCTAGCAACCTGGCCCTCCTGTCCTTTGGCCTCGGGCCAGTTGTAACAGTATTTCATGTTTTGGTGAATGTCCCAGTCACACAATGGGGACAGTATCTCTCCTGTATTTCCCTAAGGTAAATCATCAACAAAACGCTTCCTCTGCGTTAGGCGCCTGCTGTCTCCCTAACACCTGCTTGCTGGATCAGCCGGCGAGGCCTGATGCCTGCGTGGATGAGTGCATGGGCCCTTGGCCTGGGGAGGCGACATTACTGATCCCCCGTCATAGCATATGTGTGGGGAGCTCCAAAGACATGTCCCTCACACGAAGGGCTTGCCCTGGTATACACAGGCCGGAAGAGACCCTAGTCACGGCAGTGCCAGCCCCTCTTCCTCTGAACTACACACCATCCCCTTGTGCCCACCCTCACAAGCAGGGTCAGCAATGCCAGCATGGAACTGTTTCCAGATCTAGGGAATCCATGAGTGACATCTGTCTGGGGCATGGAATGAGGGAGCCATGCTACCCATGGTATGTATTTGCCATTCTTGGACAAGACCCTTTTTAGACATTGAGACAGCCCTTGTTTCACCTCTGAACAGAGGACAGAAGGGACTTGTGTGCCCAGAGATCCTAGTGGCCAGTTAGCGTGAGTCCCCACAGCTGGATCATAAGGCAGCTGTGTACACACCTGGAGTGATGTGGGTGAAGCCGGGAGTCGGAGGGTGGGCAGCTGAGAGCCCCGTGCATCCCGCAGGTGTGTGCACCCGCAGCCTATGCTGGTGCTGAGCACGACCCTCCACCTGCGACGACACGTGATCGAGGCTGCGTGTCCTGTGTGGTCCAGCCCCGCTTTGCGCTCTGTGCAGCTGACACTTCCCAGAGTGTGCTCCCAGGAGCACTGGTCTGGCGAGAGCCTCTGTGAAAACAGGCTCCCAAATACATTTGCAAACTGCGGCTCACATATCCGCCTCTTGGAGCTCCACAGTGTACATAGCGGTTTAAAGGATCCAAGAAAGCCTGTATTAACAAAACAAGTACTGCTCGGTTTTAATCTGCTATTAGCCATGAAACCATTTTTTTCTAGGAATAACCATTACTGGCCAATGGAACTAGCATTCAGGAGAAGACATCTGAGGAAATACTATTCTAGAGTAGACAGCTGGGGCCCAGTGGCCCCTTCCTGAGGGAGCTGGCCAGCAGGTAGCCAAAACCTTGGCCTCTAATGGACCTCCACACCCCTGGCTAAGGCCCATGCCATCACCAGTAGGTCACTGTCACACAGGAGGGTACAAGGGACCAAGATTCTCCCTCCAGAGAGAGGAGGTTATAACTCTGAACCGCAAGTGCTAAGATTAAACCAGCCCATAAATGCAGAGTCTTTTTAATCTGCTCATCGTCCCTCTAGGCAAGACACAGACAGGAAGATAAATGAAATTGGCATTTTTTATTATGCACCTAGTTCGGTCGGTGGCTCCCCTGGGCACAGGGGTGAGTGTTTATCTGCATGCCTCATTTAGCCCTGTGCTCAGCCCCTTTGAATCGCTGGCTGCTTTCATCCCGTGCCCAGCAGAGCCCCGACTACCCGCCAGGCACTGAGGGTGGCTCATTAAGCTCTTTTGGCCACCAGGAGACCATTTCTCACATCCCGCGCCAGGGGCTCTGTCAGGTGCTGGCAGTTAACAATAAACTGTGGGCAAGACCTAGAGGGTCTGGGGGTGGGACAGAGGGACGTGGGAACCTGGGTTTGTGCCAGGATCCCCCACCCAAGAGGGGGCATTGAAAGCCTGAGCCATGTCCACTGCGTGCCGGCCAGAGAGAGGAGCAGACAAGGAAAGCAATGGGAAAGAACCTTATCCCAGCCAGGCTCGTGGGCCTGGTGTGACTGTGTCACTCCTTCATGGCAATGCCCTGTTGGTGATCAAGGGCCGGGGCCAGGTGGCTTGAGGGTTATATTCAAGGCCAAGGTCACAGCCATATCCAAGGATGGGCCTTTATCCACCCCCAGTTCCAAAATTAAGATCCTGGACTTTGGAGACTGACAGTGGCTGGGATTGGAATTCTGACTCTGCCACTTACTCTGTGGCCTTGGAAAGTTGCTCAGCCTCTCTGGTGCTGTTTCCTCCTCTGCAAGACAGGGATTATATCAGTGTCCACGTCAGCGAATTGAAGGACGGAAAGCGTGGTAGCTGGCGCCCAGCTCTGAGCCTGCCTCCACGCTGGGTCCTCTGCTGCACGGCCACGTTCTGGTCTAACCAGAGTTTTCTCCGTCCCCTCTGGCCAAGGATCATTGAACAAGGGTACCCCCTTCCCCCATCCCCTGGGTCTCTGCCTCCTCAGACGACATCAGCACAGATCAATATCACAGCCACAACTCGGTCTTATTCTAATTCCTCTCACCAGGCTGAGGGCTCCTGGCTCCCGAAATGTAGGTTCAGGGGTTTGGTGCTTTGGTGGTGTGACTTTCCCACAGTCCTGCTCTCTGGTTAAGTGGTCTGAGGGAGCAAAGGTGCTGGCCAGGAAGGGAGGGAGGAAGGAGAGAAGGAAGGAGGGAAGGCAGGAAGGCAGGAAGGCAGGAAGGCAGGAAGGAAGGAAGGCAGGAAGGAAGGAAGGAAGGGAAGAAAGAAAAGGAAGGTTGGTTGAGGCCATCCTGGGCCATCTGCTCGTGGACAGAGGTGCCCACCAGCACCGGGATGCAGGATGAGCCTCGGCTGTCCCGCTCCCAGGCTGTCCCAGTCTTGCTCCAAGCAGCCTCCCCTCCCCTCCTCACCCACGGTGGTGTTGTCAGCTCCCGCCGGGCTGCTGGCTGGGAAGCAGGTGTGTCTGTGGAATAGAGATGCCATTGGTGACAGGGCTTGGAGGAGGCTGGGGACCCATAAAGATCCCTCCTCTGCAGCCCGGAGCAGCATCCCCGGCTATTTATCTGCTATTAAATCTCAGCTGGCTCGCGGTGGGATGCAGTCACTGGGAATGACAAAGTTGCACCTGCCCTTGCGAGGGCTGAGCAGAGCGAGGGCCGTTTGCTCCCCTATCTCATTCCAGCTCCACACAGGCAGCAGAGACACATTGATTTTTTTTTCCTTTCAATTTTTTTCTGGCTGCAGCCAAATGAGGTCAGAAGTTAAATTAGTCCTCGGAGGTAAAAAGCAGCTTCATTCATATTCCCTCTTTCTGCTGACTTTTGCTGGAGAGCATTGACAGTTTCCTTTTCTTTTCTTTACAGATTCAGTACAGAAAGGGGCAGGAGGAAATTATCTGCCTGTGGAACCCCTGGGGCAAAACCGAATGGAAAGGGCGCTGGAGTGATGGGTATGGCTTCTGGAAACTTCTCTCTATCCTTCACAGAGAGCTCATGAGGCCCTTGCTGACCGAGAATGAGATGTAGGTCTTCAGAGGATAGAGGGGCCATAGCAAGTTACTTGTTCCTCTGGGCAGCCGGTAAGGCTGCTCCCATCAGATTCCTCTGAGGGTCCATGTAGCTCCAAGAAAAGTGTCGAGACACAGCAGCCACAGGAGTTGAAGGAGGAGTCAGGGGGGAGACGTGAGCTGAAAGGAAATGCAGTGCACTCAGACAGGAGAACAGCCCAGCGCACGGTGACGATCAGTGCAGCAAGGATGGTGTGTTCTGGAAGGCAGACGCAGGCTCAGCCTGTGTTCCAGGCCAATTCCAGGCCACCTAGACCCGGCCCCATGCCCCAGCCCAAGCTGTGGCGGCAGGGCCACTCTGATCCTCTGTGAGCCTAGCACACGAGGCACTCAGCAAATGTGGAGTGCATGCATGATTGGGGTGAAGGGGTGGGAAAGTGGAGGAGGGGGGAAAAAGGTGGAAAGATGAATTTGTAGAATAAACCTGGCTGTGACATCTGATGCCCCCTGGAGAACAGGGCAGCTGAATCGTGGCCCCTGCCCCAGGAAGGGAATGACCTTGAAAAACCATGAACCAGCCCAGCCTGGACAATGTCTTCACTCAGCACCCCAGTTTCTCCTGCTCTCTTGCCTCTATTCCTTCCTTCTTCCCAAGGGTATCCTTTGCACTTTCCAGTGTAAATTCTAGTGTCCTCTGGCCTTTTCCAGTTTTTCTTCCCAGTCATTACTCAAAGCTGCCCAATGTGGCCCAGAGGGTGACACAATGAGCCAGAACCCCTGGTTTGGGGTCACCTGCTGGGACTAGGAGTAGAGGGAAAGCAAACAGCACTGATGGGTTCCCTGGGTGGGCAAGCTTTGCCCATGTCCCCCATGCAGATATCAAGTGGTCAGTGAAGGCAACAAGGGACACCAGAGCTCAGGGAAGAGATGTTCCCCATGCCCTGGCATGTTCAGGGGAGGCTTCACCGATGAGGGTGAACTTGAACCGGCCTTGTGGGGGAGGGAGTGTGGCTCACTTCGGAGATGACTAGGCGGGAGGGGAAGCATAGACCACGGTGCTAAACCAGGAGTATGCATAGTCTGCTCAGGGCCAACAAGCCCACCTCGGGCAGAGGGAGTGAGGAGAGAGTGCTGGGAGCTGGGGCTGGAGAGCCCGATGCTAGCTTAGCAGTGTGGATGTCTCCCTGCGGCCATGGGCACCAGCAAAGGCTTTGGAACAGGCGAGGGATGTGTGCAGCACACGGGCTGGGGAGAGGGATCTAGCAGCACCTGCTCTGTAGGATCATGCACCTTGCTGAGTGCTGAGGGTCACCTACTCCCCACCCAAAACCAGGCTGGAAGGAAGTGATGGGGACCGCATAATCACTGTCTCCATGCAGGTGGTCGATTTCTTCCCGACTTTTCAGAAATGGAGATGGATGGAGGGAGCCAGACGGTCTAATCTCCACCATAATTGAAATTTCAGTCGCACACACTTAAAGGCAAACTTGCATGAATCGATAGCATATTGATTTACACTACATTTATTTTCCCTTACACGCTGCAGAAAATGTAATTATCGCTTAATTATAAAATTGCCATTTTACAATAACACATCTGACTGCCTCAGCCTGCAGCCGGAAGCCTGAATGGCGGTCACTGCCGTCCTGTTGTTGCTGGCAGCACAGAGGTGGCCTGGCTCCCCATGCAAGCCCCTCCGTGAAAAGATCTCATCTAACCCTGGTGCCTCGGGGGCCCACTGCTAGGAGTGTGCCTCCACTCTGAAGAGTGGGCTGAAGCGGGGGCTCCCCTCTGCCTGTGAGGGCCTCCTCCGCACACAGACCCTAGGATTGGCTTCTGGAACATCATTTTTTTTTTTTTTTTTTTTTGAGACAGAGTCTCACTCTATTGCCCTGGTTAGAATGTCATGGTGTCAGCCTAGCTCACAACAACCTCAAACTCCTAGGTTCAAGCAATCCTTCTGTCTCAGCCTCCCGAGTAGCTGGGACTACAGGCATGTGCCACCATGCCTAAGTTTTTCTACTTTTGGTAGAGACGGGGTCTCGCTCTTGCTCAGGCTGGTCTCGAACTCCTGAGCTCAAACGATCCACCCGCCTCGGCCTCCCAGAGTGCTAGGATTACGGGCATGAGCCACTGCGCCCGGCCTGGAACATCATTCTAAGGAAGTAGACAGCGCTAATAATAAATAAGCAAGTGAGAAATCATTGTGTGCTGGCTACGTGCCAAGGTGTGGGTGACACGCCTGTGATGACATGCTGGCACTCGGAGTCCAGGGAGAGACAGCAACCAATACATAAGCATGAGCGACACCGGCTGCTGAGACGGCAGTGGGACCGGGGCCACCGGAGCTCCAAGGCTGCAGGGACCAGCAGGGCTTCCCCGGGAGATGTGTAGGCGTTAGCGGGTGAAAGAACTGAGTGCAGGGAGAGCGTTCCAGGTGGACAGAGCAAAGGGTGAAAGCCAAGGCGGTGGGTGGGGAGAGACAGGTATTTTTGAAGAAATGAAAACACTCATTATTGCTGTTGGGCCACACACAGTTGATAAAATGCTCTGGGAAATCTCACTGTCTGGTTCGTGTCTCCACGCTCAGGTCTCGGGAGTGGCAGGAAACCAGTGACCCACGGAAGAGCCAGCTGTATGAAAACAAGGAGGATGGCGAGTTTTGGTATTTGTCCACCTTTTAAAATGATGTTTTAGATCTTTAACTATTGCCCAAGGCCTCCATCCCTACCCCTTTCCCTAAATTCATATGAGGATGGGAATTAGCTTTGTAGAGAGCTATTTAGAAGGAGCCTGTTTTCTCTACCAAGACACAAAAACTTGAGGTGGGGAGATATCGTGCACTCCCTCTTTGTGGGAAAGTCATTTCAGTTTTGAAATATTGAACTTTCCAGGACATTTTAATGGCAAGAGGGAATATTGGCCCCCACGGTTTGAAATCAACGGGTTCCTGGAAACCAGGATGCACGGTTGTCGTGCCCGTGTCTTCTGGGCCATGTTGCTGGGACTGGGAGCTCCTCAGTCTCCGAAGAGCAGCAGGACACTCGTCTCTCAGTCCTGACTCCGCAGTTCTGGGTGAGATGCTAGTGTCACCACCCAGGAGTCATGCAGGACTAGATGTTTTAAAAACACGTTCTCAGGGTATGCTCACATCTTAGAGGTTGAGATGGGCATTTCTCAGAGGGCTGTCTGGTTTGCTGAGTGACATATTTAAATGAAATTTAGCATGTGTGGAGAAGAGCCTGGGTCTAAGTAATTAATCATCAGGGTGATGAATGTAAATTAGGAGGAAACTAGTCCCACTATCTCTAATCACTGTAGGAGGTGGGATTTGGGGTGTGGAACCCATTTTATTCTGCTAAAGACCTCAACAATGAATTTGGCAAAGGGCCCTGGGGAAAGGCAGTTGTCCGAGCAGTTGGAGGACCCATGGCAGAGACAGACCAGCAGTCATCCCACTGGCCATGAAATGGCTCACTGCTGGATCAATAAGGAGACGGTACTTAATGACAAAGCTCCTACCAGGTGACATCCAGAAGCTGACTCTGTTCGTACCCTCCCAACCACTAGAGGAGAGGGATGGAAAAACCAGAGGGGTACTTGATGGTGAATGAACCAGAATCAGACTCGTCTTTGGGTAGAACAGTGGCCAAGCCAATGGGTTCTTTAGCTAACACTGTAAAGGCACACTGAAGCGATGGGAACCGCCACCGTGGAGACAAGCAGTCCTCATCTAGTGATGGGTATCTATCTTTAACAGGATGTCATGCCAAGATTTCCAAAAGAACTTCTCTCATCTGTCTATATGTACCCAAACTCCAATCACTCTGGACTATGGAAACACACTCCGTGAAAGATGGTCCCTGAAGGTGTTTATGAACCAAGTGGTCCTGAGAAACACGCCAGGTAATTATGACACAGCGAACACTCCACCTGGCCAGAAGCTGGGAGCCCAGCCCTGCCCTGGCTCCAGCTCTCTCCGGCCCTTGATTCTGAATCATCAGCCTGAAGGGACAGTTACTACTTCTCCAGGGAAATGATTGCTGGTGGGGTGGGCAGGAGAATTTCCAACACGCCTCCCCTGGCCCTTCACACTGTCCCACCATCCCCCCGCTAACTTCCACCTGCTGGAGTAGAGCTGGCTCCCTGCCCTTCAGCAAGTGTCCAGGACAGCAGGGAGGGCTGTGGAAAGAACACTGGGCAGGAGGCAGAGCCCAGACTGAGCCATCATCTCTGTCGCACATGAGCCTCATGACTGTAGCACTGTAACTCGTCACTCTGTCCTCAGCCTCCCCAACTATAAACAGTGGAATCAGCAATCCCTGCCTGTCCCTTCAACCCGCAAAGCACCACCAGACACAAGGTGGACAATTCCTGCCCGGTCTTGGCCTGGTGTAACCTGAGCAGCCTGCTGAGGTCACAGAAGTCGGTGCCTCTGAGCCTATCTTCGGGTTCTCTTGAGATGAATCTTGTTGATCATGACCTTGGGAGAGTCACATTCCCCCACTGTACCTCCTCTTCCCTATTTGTGATGCTAATGAGTGAAATATTCCCCTGTGAAGATGAGTCTGAGTGTGCTTATATTCTTGATAAAAGAGGTTGTGCAAACAACATATTTGTGTGTGTGAGTGTGCGGGTGTTTGTACCGAAGGTGCGTGTGCTTTTGTCTGGGCACCTGCCTGTCGAGAATGGTTTGGTCAATGACCCCATATACCCCAGGGTGTTCCTCTTTCCCACCTCCAGGCTCTAGTGCATCTCCCGCTCTGCTGTGCAGAGAACCTCATCCCCAGGCGGCCGCGTGCAGACTCTAAGGAGCTGCCGGGTCACTCCGGGCAGAACATTTACCGATTCACCTTCCTGAGCTGCACCTCTCTGACCGTAGGGCCAAAGCGTCTTCCCTGGATATGATGCATGGCAATAAACTAACCAAAACTATATGTTGGGGCCATTTTTAATAATACCTTACAAGGGAGAGAGGTAAGGAAGCCAGCGATTGAGCACCTGCTATGCCACTCGCTGCATTTGAACGCACCATCTTATTCAGCCCTCCCAGAAAACCCATGACATGCTGGGCCTCTACATCTCCCCACTCCACTCCAGACCATCCCAGTTGCAACCCAAACCTTCAGAGGTGGATCAGTTCATCTCTAGCATATCTCCATCCTTTCATGAATTTGAATCTGGCAGTTTTCACATCAGCTCGCTCTCTCTTGTTCTGGCTTTGACGAGCATGCTTGGGTAGGAGAGTGCCGTGAATTGCCATCTCTCTGCCCACTTTCCTGTCACCAGCTGTGCTTGGGCAGTTGATGCCATTTCAAGGCTGTGACGGTTACTGCCTATGCGTAAACGCACATGTGCCTGGGACTCTGGAATTTCACTTGTTATAAAAATAGCCCTCAACCTCACAATTTAAGAAACATTTTCACCCAGTGAGGACTATACTTCCCCTCCCTATTTTTAATAGGAGACTGACACTTAGAAAATCAAGAAACCTGTACTGTAACTAGTTACTGCGGGATCGGGACCCAGGCCTTAGGTCTCCAATCCAGAGCTCACAGCACGACCCCACAGGGCCCTCTGAACTGGACATGGCCCCGGCTGGGAGTCCCAGGCGTGGAGCTCAGCGCTGGTAACAGCTCTCTCTCGTGCAGGGGAACTTCAGAGCAAAGCTCATTACCTCTTCTACGTGCAAGAGCAAACCGAAGGCACCAACGTCGTCGTGTCTTTCACAGTCACTGGCATGCCACCAAGTATGGAAGCGGAAAAGGAGCAATTTCCACTAAACTTCCAGGTGTTCCAGGTAAGACAGCCTGCTTCAGGCCTTGCTCTTTGGCAATTTGTTTAAACCTAGGGCTGGAGAGAGCAGCTGGCCAGGCTGAGAGACTTGACTGCACCACACCTTGGAGATAAAGCCCAAAGAGGCTGTAGCATACCTCTCATCCAAATTCTAAATTTGCGAGAAAACCTGAGACCAGGGAGGAGATGAGACTTGACCATGTTTACAGTGGATTCACCTGCCTGTGTCACTTGTCAGCCTTTCCTGGGGTGGCACGGAATCTAGTACTTGCTGCTCGAGAAGCGGTCTGGGCCAACACCAGCTGTTGTAACAATGCAGGTGCCTGGGCTCTCCCCAGACCTTCTGAATTAGAACCTCTGAGGATAGAGCCTAAAAATCTGCATTTTAACGACCTCCTCAGGGGCTGCTTATGCACATTAAAGTTTGAGAATTACTGGCTAAACTTTGGGAGGAGTTTAAGAAAAAAAAGTCCTGGGTATAAATCCAGGTGTGTTTTGCTCTTATGTTTAGACCAAAGTCTAAACAGCTGATATCATGGTCCAGCCCTGGCACGGGCCTGTGACCCCCTACTTGCTATGGGCACACTGCTCTGTCTTGCATCAAACCAACACTGGTAGTGTATGGACAGAGAGGGAGAAGACAGGACAGTGGGAAGGACAAGGGTGGATGTGCCATTTCATCCTCACCCCAAAGCTCCTCCCACAAGCTAAGACTTTCCACCTCCCTCCCAGCTCACCCTTGACCTCCAGAGAAGTTTTCCCCGGGGAAACAAGAGGTCTATACTCATGGGTGGGGCCCAGACTCAACAGTGCAAGAGAAGCAAAACTCACACCCGTCGAGGAGGACATTGCCTGGTGGTGGTGGAGGGGGGCTTGATTACAAAGGAAGCAACACAGCTTGCTCAACCCTCAACTCTACTACTTAAACTGCTGAGCCTCAGTTTGCTCATCCAAAACATAGGTAGCTTAGTGTCACTTGCGAGATTATCGTGAATATCCGACACATTGCATAGAAGTGCTTTCGGAACTGCAGAGTGGCTTAGCAATGGAACTGCATCCTCAGAGCTTCCTTCCCCTGCTCGGAAGGACTAGAACCTGGGTATTTCCCCACCGTGTGCATGCAGGCATTCCTACAAGCACGGGGGCGGGGCCTAGAACAAATTCCCATCCTATTTTATTCTGTCTCTCAGATCGCCCTCTTCCTTCCAGTGTCACCATCACTGCTGTGAACAGTAACCACACCTAGCCGAGCTGGCACAGGGAACGCTACCCTCTCGACCTTCCTTCCTCTTGCTGCTCTCTACAACTGAGCAGCTTTCCTTTTTTGCAAACCGCACAGGGAACGAGTAATTGTCCCGGTTCACCCCCAGGTGTGCCAGGAAACAGTCAGGCTGTGCAGGAAGGTGTGTGGGGCCAAGCAGGCTGCTCAGGGTTCCTTTTTGTTGGGTTCTGGTTCCTGAACCTGCCTTTCCTCTTCCCCACAAGGTGACTCCCAGGTATGGCTCCCAGTCACCCTCACTGGGCTTCCCAGGCCTTTGCTGCTGCCCACTGCTGCAGTGCTACACCTGTTCCAACGCCCTTGGCCTTCATGTGTTGGTGGCTACAAAGTCACTCTTGCTATGTCCTATATCAGACACAAGCTTAGAATCGCCAAACAGGTCAACAAAACAGGAAAATGTTTAGCTGTCCTGGTCTGAAGGTTGGACCCTTTAGGCTGTTCTCTTGATTAATGTTCAAGTGAAACCATCTTTGAGCATGTGGCCCTTGACAGAGATAAGATTGATGCAGCCAGTTCCTTGCTATTTAAGATGAGAGCAGCACTAAGAGCTACCTTGGAAGGATCTTAAGTCTCCCGAATTAGCCCCCAAATCCACCACAAATAGGGTGTGTGCTCTCCAAATGCAGCTTCAAGGCACATCCTCGAGCTCCTCTTGCAAGCAAATTGCTACCCCTCCGAACAGATAATCTGCCTCAGTATTAGTGAAAGGTGACTTAGGACTATGAGGGAGGCTGAGGACAGATGGAGTTTGGAATACCAGTCCTCATGGGCACTCAGACCCTTCCCATGGTTGGGAGCTCTGAGCCACCAAGAGGGAGCATATTCCTGGGGACTGTAGATGGAAGTGGGGAGCAGAACATGGCCACAGCCAACAGATGGTGACGGGAGCACCTCCAGGCCTTCAGGGAAGCCCCGACAATATGCCAGAGGCCAGGGCAGGGAGTCTCAGAACAGGGGCTATTCAGAAGTCCAGGCAGAAAGCTAACAGCAAGGATGCCTGTCTGTGACAGCGGCAGCCCAGCCACAGGATCTGACTCTGGCCCCCAGCACCTCAACCATGGAAGTGGAATGTTTGGAAGGGCTACTAGGGAAACATTCAGGTGCAAGGAACGGTCAACATTTCCACTCCCAGAGCTGGAAAACACTTAATCCAAGAAAAGGCACAAACCCCATCTCAAGAACTACAGAGTCAGGCCTGGGCATGACTAGCCCTGTGTTGATGTGATGCTGGGTCCTGCGAGCACGGGACCAAGACCTCCCCTCACGCCCCAACACTCACACTTCCTGTTGCCACTGAGCGGGTCTTCTCTGCAGGATCAGCAGCCCAGACAGGGTGCAAGGGGCCGGCAAAGGGAGGAGGGCAGGAGAGCAGGTAAGCAGGGAGGTCCTTACCTTCCAGATTGTAGGAGGCACTCCACCCACACGCCTCTGCACGCACACTGCTTCCCCACCTGCACACACTTGCACACACACACACACACACACACACACACACACACACACACACACACTAATACCCAGAGCCACAGGGCATTGCTGACCCTCTGGAGAAGAACTGGTTCCATCACTGCTTTTTCCAGAAGGGCCCAAGCAAGTCAGGCTGCCAAACCCACTGGGACTGCTGTTAATGTCAGCAGAATCGCTTCGGAGACTCCACTGAGCCCCCGCCATACACTTGGGGCAGTGGCCTGTTTCCTGTGTCACTTTGGAGCTCAGCAGTGTCCCTATACCCTGAAAAGAAAGTCTCCCCTTTCCCCTGCTTTTTCCCCCAGGCAGAGCTCATAAATAACCATTTCCTGCTCCATAACCATTCTAAATGGAATCCCCTTGCTTGACTGTAGTGGGGAAAATTTGTTTAGCAAGGGGTTTTTATTATGTAATATGTATGTGACATCTGGTAATAGGAACTGCATTATATTTATTGTTTTATCTCTAAGAAAATATTGAAATAAAAGGAAAATGATCAGGGTCTATTATTCTCCAATGAGAAGAAATCTCAGGGCTCTACTGGCAAGATGCAACAGAGGAAGTGAATAGAATTCAATTCTGCAATACTGTTGTAGCAGTCTGGAGGATTTCGCTAAAGGTTCAGGAGAGAAGGGGCTTTAGGGACCCCAGAAGAAAATCAGTGTTGAAACAATGTCACTTGTTTCCATTGAATTCTTCTCTATATATAAGCAGAGAGAGAAAGCCCAGAAACCCAGGATGCTGTTAGACTTAATGAGATAAAACTGTGTGTCATATCTCTTTACGTTCACTGTAGTGGTAGGGTGTAGACGAAATAACAGTCTACACCCTGCTGCTTTATGAGAGTTCAGGTAAGCACCATCTCCCTTTTCAGGGCCTGCCGTGCTGTTTTGGTGAACAGAGAGGGTCTGGAAGTCGGTGGGTCTCTCCTGGTGGCCTGGGCCCATGCGTGGAGGGGGTGTTCTCACAATCATCGTTTCTTCTAGTTCCAGCAGTTCCGGGAGAATCTGCGGCCAATTGCTTGTTTTAAGATTTAAAAGGCAACACACCCCACACACCACCCCCATAATTATTCCTTTTCTTTCTAAGTTTCATCCCACATTTAGATCTCCTGTCCAGAGTATAAATTATCAACATTCAAAGCGCAACTTCACAGCATCCTTCCATCTGAACCCTGGGACCTATGCTGTGGTCCCTAAAAAACAGAGATATGAAACCGGGTTCTTGCTTCGAATCTTCCTGAAAATGCCAGACAGTGACAGGTACAGAACCTCTGGAATTCTGAATGTTTTATTCTACTTAATTGTATAAACATGCACGGTGTCATCAAGTGCAGTGGTCTGTCGATGCAGCATGTGCTGTGTCAGTGGGGGACACGGCATGGGCCCCACTCTCGAGCAGCTCACCGAGAACCAGACCACAGACAGGCTTAGGCCCTGGCGAGGTGGAAATGCAAAGTCGTGTGGGAGGGCTGAGCAGGGGGACCCACTTCTGGCAAGAGGGACTGAGGAAGGTGTCTTGGAGGAAACAGCACTGGAGCTGGTCCTTTGATGGTTTAAAGGGGAAGGCTGTGCAGGCGGAAGAAGAAAGCATGAGCAGCAGCAGGGAAGTGGGTGAGCACAGGGCTGGTTGGAGAGTAGGTGGTGTCAGCATCTGTACAGGAAGGTGGGCATCTGGCAAGCCTGTCACATTGTCTGAAATGTGGCCAGAATGTGGAGTGTAGCGGGGAGACAGTGAAAGATGGGCCTGAATGACAGGGTCTAAGCATGGAGGGTCTTGCATCCAAGTCAACAGGTCAAGACTGGGATCAACAAGTACTCACCCCACTGGGGCCCGTCTTGGGCCAAGGCAGGCATCGCTATCAACAGGACGGTCTTTGCCGTTGAGCATGGGGGAGGCCTTCTCAGTCCTGCATGCCAGGCAGCCATCGTACCACCAGTTCTAGGTGGAACAAAAGACACAGCTTATCTGCCATTCTGGCCATGGGGGTCATGGCATGTGTGTATCTGACCGCAAAAGGAACATCTACTAGATGGTTCCATGTGCACCCAAAAGGCTGGGCACATGGCTGTGGTGCTTGTCTGCCTGCCGACTGCCTGGCTGCCCACCTCAATGTCCTGCAGTGCTCAGGGCTCCCCACTCAGGCCCTTGGCAGTGTCCAGTGCCATCTGAGTGCCCTCCACATGCAGGCCCCTTTGAGTGGTGTGCAGGTTGTCCTTGTCACACTGTTCCCTTCATTTTCCAGGAGCCAGAGAAGCAATTTCGGCCCCAGAGCACTGAAGGTAGGTGTGCAGGAAGGCTTGGCTGGGTAGCTTCATTGGTCACATCCCATCCTGAAGAGCTCTGTCCCCTTCCTTACCTGTCCGCTGACCAATGAAGACAGAGACACCCAGGGCCGATGATGGCTCAGAGGGGTGGGGGAGAGGGAGGAGACACCAGTCTCCACGGCCAGGCTCAACCTGACCATCTCCTTCCACAAACTTCCATTTTTTTATTTCCCTAATGGATTTGTCCAACTTCCTGATGTCTCAGATCTAGGTGGGGGTTGTTGCACCCTTGCTGTCCCAGACAGGTGGCTTCCTTCCCCCAGAGGTTTCATGTTGGTGGTTTCCCTTTGATCCAGGAAAGTCCTTCAGAAACTGGCTCCCAGCAAAGCATTTTCTACAGATACGCTCAGCAGGTACGGAACCTCCCGAGGGCCCTAGCAGGATGGGGGTGGAGGGCCCCTCCCAGGCCCTTATCGGGATGCAGACAGAAGGGCCTTGGCAGATTATTTTATCAGCCTGTCTCCCTGGATCGCCTCCAGAGCTTCTCTGGCTGCCAAACTCTGTAGGGAAGCGGCGTCGTACCCAGTGTCATCTTGGTGACATCCGATGGAACGTAGAGCTTAGAAAGGGAAGGGATAATTGGGGGCAGGGAGTGTTGCATTTTAAATCTTAAAACAAGCAATTGGCGGTACCCCTTGAAATCTTCCCTTCTCCCACTCGGCCACCTCCCACCAGCCTGGCATCGTTCCTCCCGGGAGCTGGCCAGCTTCAGAAAGCAGTGACAGCGCTCTTGCTGCCAAGCCACCTATGTGCACACAGGATTTGCTTAACGGTTTAATAAACCGTTATAAAGAACTCCTTGACTTGTCAGGATAAAACAGCTGCCAAGGGCTCCGTACGATGGGCCTTTTCCCATTGATAATCACGTTGGTGTGCGAAGCAGAAAGTGATGCCGATGACCATGGGTGCCGTGCCAGCTTGCGCCAGGCAGAGGCCAAGGGCAGGAAGGACGCCAGGCCCTGCCTCTGCATTCGGGGGTCTGACAGGGTGGTGGTAACCCAGAGGCAGCCTGGGCCCAAGAGGAGAACAAAAATGAAAACCAAAGAACGTGGCTGGAGTGAGGGCCACATACTGCAAAGAGCAGCTGCGAATTCACTATCCGCCCAGCACTCAGGCCGCCATCTGGGCTGATTCCGAAGGCACTTCCTTCACGTGATGCAGGACAACGCCGGCCAGGATGACCGTCCTGTGGGCTCCCGAAGACAGGGATGGTATCGCATGCACTCCTCGTCCCCAGCACTGACCACTGTCCTTGGCACAGATGAGGTGCTCTATCATTTCCCTTGAATTGAATTAAGACAGATTGGCTCCCCCAGAGCAGATGCCCAAGCTAAGGTTAGCTGCCATGAGCTGGTTAGCAGGGCCTGATTAGGATGCCTGAGACCCAGCTTCCTTCAGGAACAGGTGGCAAATTCTCACACGTGGTCCGTGCACCTGCACCTTTAAGATAAAAATAAAATTTGTCATAAGATGGGACAGATTCCCTAATCAAGACTTTTCCAGACAACAGCCAAATGCCTCCTCACAGAGGGTTGCTGGCAGCCCCTATGGCGCCTTTGTGGGAATTAGAGTGAAACCCAGATGCAGCACTGTGCCAAGGTGCATGGCTAGAACAGAGGCTGGATTCCAGCCCCTTCTCACCTCTCAGCTGGGCAAATGGCTTTGAGCAGGGCCCACCTGGCTTTATTCTGCACAACCTGCAAACCATCCTCAGAGACTGTGTCCTCCAAAGAAAGTGTAAAGCAAAACATTAATCCATGCACTCACTCTATCCTCTCTCCCGATCTCTTAAGTCGCTTTCACAAACTTTGAACTACTACGACGACTTCTTCCTACCACTACCATTCATTCCCTTTATTAGCCATGCTAGAGGTGATGGCACTGCCACTCAGGGTCTGCCACGGGAAAGGAAGGGCACACTTGGACTCTGGGCTGGGCCAAGTCTATCCATCCATCTGTCCTTAATTCCATTGGCAGCCATTTGCCAAGCACCTAGGACATCCAAGTGCCACCCTGAGCTTTGGGTGTACCAAAGCACAGCGCTTGGGTCACTCACATTGTAGTGGGAGAGGCAAACATGCAAATCTTTGGGACTTTGTTTGAGAAGTCCTCATCTCCATTCCTACTCTCACTTCCGTAAACACTTCTGGTTGATTCTGGAGCGTAGGGTCCGAGTCAGGCTCTGCGCTAGCACGTAAGACGGCGTGGCCCACGGCCCAGAGCTGCCATGGCCTGGTGGAGGATTCCTCGTTATGTGTCAACTGCTGTCCAGGTGGAGGTGACATGATGCTTTTGAAGGGGAGCTCTGTTGATGGTGGGCACACAACACCAACTTCCCTGATACAACCAAAAGTGAGATGTTGGAGAAATGACCCGAGGATCAATTTTGGACGGTGGCAGGATGTTTTGTTCAGGGAGCATCCTGAGGGCTCGCCCTCCGGGCGAAGAACCCCAGGAAGGCTGCACAGCTGTTTGTGCTCTCGGCCCTGGGACATGGAAGGGGCATCGAGACTGTCATCTATGAGGTGCCGGTTCTCAGAAGATGCCCAGGAGGCACCTTCTTCCACCTGACCAGGGCCACTCTGCAAAGCCCTGCTGAGAAACCTCATCCAGCGCCAGCTCCCCGAGAAAAGGCGTCCCCAGCGTGACAGCGGCACCATCCCCTCGGCCCTGCCCAGGCTGTATGCGAGGAATGGCTCACGAAGAAGACTCGTCTCTGACGCTGCCTGTCAAGCTGTCCGATGTCCCCAGTATAAAACAGAATGCAGTTAACTGCTCCAGAAGTCGAGGCCAGGAAAAGTTTCTCGTTCCCCTCAACCCCAATTGCTTCCTGCTCTGAGCCTGAGGAAAACATGACATCTCCCTTTTCGCTTCAGTGGCTGGGAAGACTAGTGCTAAGTAATGTGTTCAGTTAGAGCAGCTTCTCTTAGCCCACGGTTCTGGTATTTTTAACTCCTTTTGTCACACACGTACGTGCACGCACTCACATACACCGTAGTCACATTTCCCTCAGCCTCTTTCTGGAAGCAGATGGGGAAAACACCCAACGGGCTCAATTGAGTCATTCAACACCTTTCCTGGGGGCTCCCACGTGCGGGGATGGCAGGGAGGAGGCCCCCACGGCGTTCAGTCCCATAATGAATGCAGAGAGAAACACAGGGCGCCCACGCCGGGTGCCAGCCGTCGTGGCCAGCACTGCAGATGCTCAGGGGAGGGAGTGGCCACCACGGCCAGGAGCCGTCAGGGCGGGCTTCGTGACAAAGGTGAGATGGGCACGTGGCAGAAGCTGACTGCTCGGAAATCAAGGGCTTTTGCAGACGGGGCCAGGAGGACGTACCTCTCTGGTCCTGGCACTGAAATACTCCTCCCTTGCTTGGGTCAGGGACAGGAAATAGATGCCACCCAGCTCCAGAGCCTGCTCAACCAGGAACTCCTGACAGGTAGGAGCAGCCCCAGGGCCTGCTGGCCCATCCTCGTCCCCTCTGGTACCCGCCCCCCAACACATCAGTCCCTCCTGGCCTTCCCTCCTCAGGACCCCCGGGGGACACCTTCTCCTTGGACCAGTGCCGCAGCATCCTGGCTCTGATGGACGTATCCTTTGCAGCTGTCCCTCCTTCTCTCTGACAGCCCCTCTCCCCAGGCGACAGCAGGGAACCTTTCTCGCTCTCAGTATTTTCTCTCCTTCTTGGCCCTGAGTTTCCATGGATTCGCTACTAACTCACTAAGCCTCCAGGCCAACCACAGCAACATGACAACAGTCCCCATCGAGTGAGCATCTACTGTGGGCTGAGAATTGTACTGGCATATATATATATTTCTTTTTTCCTTGTAGTTCTTGCAACAACTCTGTGATATAGGAAGTATTATCTCATCATGCAGTGAAAGGAACAGGGGTTCAGAGATGTTAATTTGCCCAGATCACTCAGCTAGTCAGGACTTGTGCCTAGATTTGAGGTTGGGATTTTCAGCCCTGAAAATCCACGTTCTGACCTTATCCTACGCTGCCTCCTTGGAGCACCCGTGGGGACCATTCTCCCCACTAGCCCTCCGCTTGCTACTGGAGAAGTCGCCATGATTTAAATTTCCTACTCAACAAGGCCCCACCTCAATAAAGGTAAGAATGACCAGACACACAGAAAGCCCCTGGCCGGCACAGCACTGCCTCCCGTGCTGCGGCTGGGTGCAGGTCGGTCAGTGGCTCGCCCCGGGTCAAAGGCGACGAGTGGCAGGAACACGAACCTGACCCTGGGCTCCTGCCTCTCCTGATTTCACCCCCAGTGAGCCATTCTCCCCTGACACCCCGGTCCCAGCAGGCAGGAGAGGCTGAGGCCACGTGTGCTCGCCCCGCTGCTGCCTGGCCAGCCCTCGCGGGCCACGAGCTGTCTCCTGAGAGAGACAGATCAGCCGCTCTCGATCTGCCAGCGAGGCTGGACTGGGACTGCGAAGCCGGCCACTGTAGAACCAGAGGGCTTTTTGATGGAATCAGAAGTCAGGCCCTGTCTCTGTTGGCTGTGGTTTGGAGTCACTCAGCGACACTGCCCATCCCCCACAGAGGAACCCAAACGGTCCACGCAACCCCATTGCCCAAGGGAGGTCATGTTTCTGGATCCCTGCAAAGTGGACGGGCCTTTCCTAGCCTTCCTCCTACCCACCCGCCGGCTCCCCTTCCAGTTCTCAGAGGTCCACGCTCTTCCTCTCCTTGCTCATCACTGACCCCACTGGAGGCAGTGGCCACGTCTGGCTTTAGTATGGACTCAGAAAGCATTCCCTCTGCACACGTGCATGTGGGGCTCACACAGTTACCTGCAGCTGCTGCTTCTGGAGTTGCAATGACCCCTCCTGCCCCTCCCCACCCTCCCCGCCAGAGAACACCCTCTGACTGGTAAGCCTATGCCCTGGGCTTGCTCTCTTCCCCCCGATGCAAGTGACATTGGCCTTTTTTTCTCAGGGCTTCCTTCTTCTTCCAGTTGTCCATTTTTCTTTGTAAGACAAATCTAAGCCAGGTCCCTTTCAGACGCGAGGGAGACAGCTGGTGTGGGGCCACATCTAGGTGGTGCTGGACCAACTGTGTTACTAGTGATGGATGGAGCTGCTCGGGCTGTGTTGGCAGGACCAGGGGCCCCTCTGCTCATTGCATGCTGCGCTGGTTAGCCCTTAACTCCCCATCCAGCTGCAAGTGAATGGGCGGCTCAACCAAGAGGAGTTCACAAGACTGTGGAAGCGCCTTGTCACCTGCCAGGTATGGGCGTGCTTTCTCTGACTAATGCTCTTATTCCATCCGGTTTAGCAAATATCTACCAGGTGTCCTATCTACCCTACAGCAGAGCTGAGGGGGATGAAAGGAGAGGAAACCTCACCCCTGCCCTCCAGGAGTGCTCACATCTTGTTTGGGGAGACCAACATGCAGCACGAGAGGGCGCAAGGCGCTGCCGGGTCAGAGCAGGATGAGGGATGCTGTGGAGGTTGGGGGAGGAAGACATCCTGGGGACTCTAGCTAAAGCTGCCAGCTGGCATTTTCCCCCTCGTGCCAGCCCCCCATGCACACCGCTGACCCTCTAGCCCCTCTCACGCCCCTGCAATCCATCGGCCAGAGGATCTGTCAAAACAGGTGTGGTCTGGACCCTTGTGTGGCCTCCCCGTTGTTCTTAGGACAACGCCTGAGCCATCAGAGCAGCACACAAGACGCTGTGAGGTGGGCCCCTACTTGGGGTCCAGGAGAAGCCCCCTCATCCCAACCTCTCCTTCAAACCCCAACTGGGACTCCTCATTACTCTCTATAAACTCACACCCACTCCGGGAGCCCCTGCTGTCCAGGACGTCCTCCGGGTCCTCACACGGACTTCCTGCTTCTTTTCCCACATCAGTGTGTTTTCCAGAACATCCAGAAGAGCCCTGGAGTCCTCCTGAGCTCAGACTTGGGGTCGGCTATAGCGAATGCAGGTAGATGGGCGCCCTCTGAGCTGGGATGGTGGGGCCGTGGGTGGGTGGGTGCGAACCCTCAGGACGCTGCAGGCCAGGCCAGCACAGCACAGTCAGGAGAGGGGAGAAGGCAGCTCCTGCATCCTCCCCTGGGTCACACTACCCTCGGGCCTCCCCAGCTCTGGCCTCAGACATCATTTCCCTGCCTGAGTTCTCCTACGCCAGCCAGTCTCCCCTGGCTGCCTTTCCCCCCAGCACAGCTCTAAATGTGAGAAAATAGTTCTGCAGGGTCACTGCCCTTCCAGGAATGGAGCCGCCACAGAGACGCTCCCACCTCAGTGTCTGGGCCATGAGGGTTAAATACCCGCGGGCAGGCTGCTGAGCTCTTCTCCCTCTTCACAGAGGGTTTGGGCTAAATCCAATCAAACGCATCTGCCTGCTTCAAGGAGGCAAAAGCTTTCCGTCCTGGGATAATGATAATAATACCTTAGGGTGCATAAGTGCTTCATGGTTCACCAAGCGCTTCTATTGGCGTCCTCTCATTTAGCAATCGTGACTACCAGTGAACTGGGAAGGGCAGGGATCATTATCTCCACTGCGGCTGATGGGGAGAACGAATCACACAAAGATTATGCAAGGAAATGGCCACCAACCTTAATAAAATGTAAAATCAGGTTCCCCCAGGTTAATGCCAGAAGGAAAGTCTCCATAATTCTCCCTCTGGGGCTCCTAGCCTGGGGGTGGGGGAAGACCGGGCTGCTGCACCCCTGCTCTCCTGTGACATATATCCTCCTCTGTAATTCTTCATGATGTAGAGCTGGGTTCACAAACCCGAGCGTGCATCAGCATCCCCTGCAGGGCTTGTTAAAACGCAGCTTGCCGAGCCCCACCTCAGCATTTCTGATTCAGAAAGTCTGGGTTGGGATCAAGAATTTGCATTTCCAGCCAGCTCCCAGGTGATGTGCATGCCCTGGTCTGGGGACCACACTTTCACAACCACTGAAGGGCCAGTTAAAGATGACATCTGTAAAGGAGACCTCACTCATGACACCAGAGTAATAAAAAGAAGAAAAATAGAGACTAGTTCAAATTCAACTCAAAAACCTCCCAGAAGCCAGGCAGGTAACTTAAAGAGCAGTGCAGCTAACAGGAAGGAAATGGGGGATTTGAGAACGCAGCAAGCTGGAGAGTGCATGCCCTGTCTAAAGGCGTTTAAATTGACGTTTTCTTAACTCTGCTGGAGAAACCAAACGTGTCTCTGGCTGTCTGGGGCCCACAGGCCACCAGGCTTGTCCCTTGAGGGTTGGTTTGGCTTACAAGGTTCTGCATGCTTGCCAGGGCTTGCAGGCCTGACTGTACCAATCTGCACTTGGCCCCTGTGTGGTTGGTGCCTCCCCGGAGCTTATGACTAGATAAGCAAGATGATAAGGTGCCTATTTTATGCCCACCTGATGCCACCTTTTGAGTTCCGGTCTCTGAGGACCAGCCTTTTTCCTGGATGGCTGACTTAGGTGTGCCCCTCTTCCAGGGACCACCCCTACCCACACTGGCAGCATCCACACCTAAGACCCACGTGCAGTCAAGCTGGGGGAGGAAGGTTGTTTCACCAGGTCACCAGCAGAGAGAGGCCTGGCAGAGGCAGGGCTGGAAGCAAAGCCCAGGTGTCCTGGAAGCTCGTACACTACATAGGGATTATTAGATGATTGTGAAGGCCGATGTGTCCCCCAAGACAGTCAGTGTCTCTTGAGCACGAGTTGGCCTCTGGCCAAACTGCAGAACTGTGTCACTGGGTCCCGGCGGCCAACAGAAAAGAGAAGACACTGAAGTGAGGGGCCCCTCCGCCACGCCAGGCTGCGTAGGAGTTGGCGGAAGGCCTAGGCCCTCTGAGCAGGTCCTTCACGCCTGGGGAGGCAGAGGACCCGCCCCGCCTCTCAGCTCACACGCTGGCCCTGCGGCCCCAGACTTCCTTGCAGGGATCTCCATCAGCGACGAGCTGCTGGGTCTCATGACCCTCCGGTACAGCGACCCGGCCCACAGGGTCAGCTTCCCCAGCCTGGTCTGCTTCCTGATGCGGCTGGAAGCCATGGCAAGTAAGTGTCGCTGGGGGCCGCCGGGAGACCTTCGCAGTGGCCAGAGAGCACAGGAGAGCCAGGAGCGGCTCCTGGCCCAGGCCTTGGCAGCGGGGTGGGCCGCCATCCTGCAGGAGGCGCCCTTGCTCCCGGGGGACAGAGCCGGGCGCGGCTGCCAGTAATGGCGGCGGCTCCCTTCTGCACGCTTCTTCCCAGCACGTTCCCCTGCAGCTCCTCTCTCAGGAACACGGTTAGTCGAAATCACTCTGCCCCTCTCTGGGTTGTTTATAATTGAAACCTGCTCTTTAGTGGTGCGGTGGAGGATGTGAATCTCTGCGGAAGGAATTCCAAACACAAGTGAATAGGTGTGGGCAGGAGGCCTCTCCCCAGGATGCAGAAATCCGCTGTGTAGGCCAGAGGCTCGAACACTTTCTAGCAGCACAACCCTTTGTGTTAAATGAAACCATGTGCGCAAGCCCAGGCCCTAACAAAGCGCAAGATGGCGCAGCTGCGGCTGTGGTAGAGCAGAGGCCAGCCCCCTGCCATCCTCACCACCTGCGGCGAGGCTCCTCCAAAAGCCCCACGGCCCTGAGCGGGGCCAGGAGCCTGAGAGACTGGAGCCCTGGAAGAGTGAGGGGAAACCGAGGCGCAAGCCTTGCCCCCCAGAGTTCTCAGTTGCACAGGGGAGGCCCCCAAATGGTGCCTGTGAAAGAAAGGCAAGCCCACACATGCCCAGGGCCGAGTGCGGGGGTGCACAGTGGAAGGAGCTGGGGGAGGGTGGCGTGGGGCTGGGGGTCGGGGAGCTGGGCTGACAGGTGCACCTGAGCTGCCCAGAACGCGCTTGGCTGCAGAGGGACGAGGACGGGAGGGCGCACTCTGAGCGGAGGGAGGGGCAGCTTTGCGCAGAGTCCCCACAGCCGCTGCTTTCAGCTCCTTGTGGGCCCGGCCGCCTCCCCTCACCTGCCCCATTCCCTCCTCCTCGGTTAGTCAAACCTTTCCTTCTTGATCCTAGAGACGTTCCGCAACCTCTCCAAGGATGGAAAAGGACTCTACCTGACAGAGACGGAGGTAGGCACTGTCCCCTCCCCGGGACAGGCGCAGTCCCAGGCCGCCTCTCCTGACCTGATTCCAGAGGATTTCTCTCCCCGCGGGCATCGAACAGTCCGTCAGAGGCCGGCCAAGCTGCCGCCCCCTCCACCCCCGACTCCAATTACTGCCTTATATATCGCTGGCTGCCAGGCCGCTTTAGGATCTTGGCAGACAGATTTTATTTTTTTCCAATAGCTTAATAAAGCAGAGGATTATGTGGGAGTCATAAATCCAGGAGGGAACTGAAGAACAGCCGCGGAGCTCACTGTGCACTAACCCGACGCCCACCGGGTTTTAGAGCCTCCTGGCCAGCCAGCAGGGCGGCCTGCGCTACCCTTCACTGTAGCTGCTCAGAGAGCAGCAGATGTACCAGGGCAAGGGGCTGAGACCTCCTGCTTGGCTGGAATCAGCTGGAGAGGGGTGATGGGACTGGACTGAGCCCTGAGGGAGGAGGGTGGCACTTGCCCTGCTCTGTATTGAGGTAACAGACTGGCAGGGTTGGTTGTAATGATGATGCTTATTTTTCAGTGGATGAACCTGGTCATGTACAACTGAGGCAGGATGTGGAGCCGACCCCACGGTACAGGTAAGGCTGGTGGCTTTGCAGTCACTTCCTCCTGGGAGCATGATTCCTCTTCTCCAGGAAGCAACAGGAGAGACTCTCCCTGCGAGCATCCTCCCCAGGGATTCTGGAGCCCTTATCTGGAAACCAAGGGTCAGCCGCTGAGAGCCCTTGAGTTTTAAGGCCAATGCTGCAAACATCAGCCAAGCCATGTAGACCAGTAGATGTTTATGGAAGGGTGTGGCTTGAAAGTCATGAATGAGGGATTTCGAATTCTTAGTTGAAGTTCCAAGGAAACACAGGAAAGGCAGTAGAAATGGCGGAAACAGAATGATGTGGAGTGATAGAAATAGGTGCTGGGGGGAGGAGGTCAGTTCCAGCCCTGCCATTGCCTCGCCGGGCAGCTTCAGCCAGATCACAACAGCTGCAGGCATCAGTGTTCACACCTCTAGCGTGAGTGCTCAAGAATTAACACCCACGTCATTGCCTCTGCACTTATTTTCATGGAACAGACCCTAGAGTTACATAGTCCCCTACCCTACTATAGCAGAAGCCCCAACAGAGTCTTCTAGAATCCTCCAGGACTGAGGAGCTCAGTATTTGTGCTTCCCCACTGTTGGACATTTGTAGGTGTTAGCTATTCTTTATCTAGAAGCAACAATCTCCTTTTCTGAAACTTTGCTTCCTACTTCTACTCTCTGGACCACTGTAGAAAAACACTGGACATGGCAGGCCTTCAAATACTTGAGGATACCTCTACCGCCTTGCCCAAAGCCTCTCTTCTTTAGTTATTCCTGCTGATTTTCATCTGGGACCTCCTGGTGACCGTTCTCTATCTGCCAACGTCCCTTTGAAGTATATAGTTCTCCATGTGGCAGACCTGTGATCTATATCCTCTGAAATGCTATTATTTTTGTAAATAGTATTAATCTCCCAATCATGTTCCTTGAAATCAAGAAACAGACACTGTCCCCATAAAGAAATAATATTTTAGCATAAATATTTCCTGGTGAACACTAGTGCTTCCTAATTACAAATTAACAAATATTGCAGAAATTATTGTTAATGTCCCTGAACTATATTTTTTTGAAGTCTTCTCTAGCTCTTCTTTAAAAATAGGACATTGGATCATTTCCAATTTTATTGTGTTTATTCCAATCTACATGATTTCTAGTACCAAGAATGATTCTTCAGTTGTGTCTTTAAGTTCATTCAACACACAGGGCTAAAAGGTTTGAACTTCTGAAATGGCTGGATGCTCTCTCACTATCTTTTCTCCATTCAGGGTTCCGATTCTCTCCTTATTCCTGTTTTCACCCTGCCTCATTTAAAGATTATATAAGAAGGAAGTATAATATCAGACGTGTGGTTATGCACGTTTCAGTCTCCTTCGTGATCACCTGTCCTCACCCCTAAGAGGGCTCCCTCACTAATCACCCCCCACAGCACATCGTTAAAGCAGATCCACTCACTCTTGGCTCATGGGTTGCTTTGCAAAATCGAAGGTGGGAGGAAGAGGAAGTTCTGCCTCCAAATCTGCAAACTCAGCTTCCTCTGTAACCATATCCTCCCTTCCTCCTGTTATGTTAGAGGGGACATCCCTCCAGAGTGTTCTCTATCTCATTCCCTTCTACCTTCATCTGATTATGTGGATTTTCTCCTCTGTCTTCTGAATATAAAAACCTGCCTTCTGGAGCCTTCCAATTCCCATTTAAACATGTGTATCTTTTACATTTCTTCCATCTCATATCCCTTCCAGCTACAACATCATGTCTTTCCTCCTCATTACAGCCAGACTTTATAGAATTAATTGTCTCCATATCCTCACCTCCCACTCTCTGCTCAAACTACTTTAATTTAGATTTCTTAGACATCATCTCTCTCCTTGACTTTTGCATTGGCTTCCCATCTGATTGTGCATTCCTATCTCTCAAATCAATTTCCTGCAATCAGAGTACACCTTTAAAAATTCAAATCCAGTCATTAAATTCTCCAGGTTAAAACCCTTCAATGTTTTCCTATCACTCCACAGGAAAAATCTAGAGTCATTAATGTGCACCACAAGACTCTGCATCATCTGACCTCTGCCAAGCCACCTAACCACACCTTGAGCCTCTCCTTCCCACTCTCTGCTCCCACCACGCCAGCATACCTTGATGTCCTTCTCTTTTCCATGCCTTTCCTAGCCTCAGGTCTCTGACCCTACTGTCTTCCCTGCCCTGGATGTCAGTCACCAAACTCATGCTCCTTTATGTCTTAGCCCAGTTGGGTTCCCATATTATTTACTCATATGTCACCCTTTCCCAATCAAAACATTCAGCACACTGTTTTGTTGTTGCCCACGCCTTCCTTTTTTTGAGAGAGAGATTTATTGAGATATAATTTCACACACCATACAGTTCACCCACTTAAAGTATAGAATTCAGTGGTTTTTAGTATGGTCACGGAGTTGTGCAACCATAACCACAATATAATTTTAGAACATTTGTCATCACCACAAAAAGAAACCCCATGCCCATCTAAGCATGCCCATAGAAATCACTCCCCAATTGCATCCCACCCTCTAGTGCTAGGCAACCACTAATCTACCTTCCGAATCTGTAGACTTGTCTATTCAGGCTGTTTCATATAGACAGAATCATGCAACATGTGATCCTTTATGACTGGCTTCTTTCACTTAGCATGTTTTCAGGGTTTATCCATGTGGTAATATGTATTAATGCTTCCTTTTCAGTGCCAAATATTTCATTGTGGCTATACCACATTTTATTCATCTACTCATCAGTTGGTAGACATTTAGGTTGTTTCTACTTTTTAGACTATTGTTAATAATCCTGCTATGAATGTTTGCATACAAGTTTGTAGGTGGGCATATGTTTTCATGTCACTTGGGTATATACCTAGGAGTGCAATCGCTGGATAATATGGTAACTCTATGTGTTTTGAGGAACTGCCAAACCATTTTCCAAAACAGCCAAACCATTTTCCAAAGCACCATTTCACATTTTCTCCAGCAGTGAATGAGGGTTCCAGATTCTCCATATCTTCCCCAAACTTCTTACTGTTGTCTTTTCTGCATCCCAGAGAGCATGAAGTAATGTGTCAGTGTGATTTTGATTTGCATGTCCATGATAACCAAATGACGTTGAGCATCTTTTCAGTGCTTACTGATCATTAGTATAACTTCTTTGAAGAAATGTCCACTCAATCCTTTGTCCATTTTAAACTTGGGTTCTTTATCTTTTCACTATCAAATTATAATAGTTCTTTCTATATTCCAGGTGCTAGTCCCTTCTCATTATGTGATTTGCAAAATTTTTCTCCCATTCTACAGATTGTCTCTTCAGTTTTTTGATTAAATCATTTGTAGCATTTAAGTTTTAATTTTGATGAAGTCCAATATGTCTGTTTTTTCTTTTGTCACTTGTGCTTTTGGTGGTGTATCTAAGAAACCATTGCCTAGGCCAGGCCACAAATATTTACTCCTGTTTTATATTTTGCTCTTACATTTAGGTTTGATTCATTTTGAGGTAATTTTTGTATATGGTATGAGGTAGGGATTGAACTTGATTGTTTTGCATGTGGCTATCTAGATGGCCTACCACCACTTGTTGAAAAGATTAGTTTTTTCTCCAATTTTATTATCTTTGGCACCCATTTCAAAAATCAATTTATTGTAATGTAAAAATTTATTTCTGGACTCTCTACCCCATTGATTTATCTGTCTGTCTTATGCCAATACCACACTATGTTGGTTACTATAGTTGTCCAGTAAGTTTTGAGATCAGAAAGTGTGAGTCCTGCAACTTTATTTTACTTTTCAAAACTGTTTTGGTTATTCTGGGTTCCTTACATTTACATAGGAATTTTAGGATCAGCTTGTCAATTTCTACAAAAAGGTGGGTGGGTGGGGGCAGCTGGGATTTTGATAGAGATCACATTAAATCTATAGATAAATTTGGGGAAAATTATCATCTTTACTATATAAAGTCCTTTGATCCATGTGTCTCTCCATTTATTTTTTTTAGATCTTGTTCAGCTTTTTTGAAAAATGTTTTACTATTTTCAGTGTAGAAGTCTTGAACTTTATTAAATTTATTCCTAAGTATTCTGTTTGATGCTATGATAAATGGAAATGTTTTCTTAATTTCATGTTCAGATAATTCATTGCTAGTGTATAGAAATAAAAATGATTGTTATATATTGACCATATTTCCTGTAACCTTGCTGAACTTATTAGTTCTAATAGTGTTTTAAGGGATTCCTTAGAATTTAATATATACAAAACCATGTTGTCTGCAAACAGAGATAGTTTAATTATTTCCTTTTCCATCTGGATGCTTTTTATTTCTTTTTCTTGCCTAACTGTCCTGGCTAGAACTTCTAGTACAATGCTGAATGGAAGTAGAGAAAGCAACTCGTCTTTTCCCATTAAATGTGATGCTCACTGTGGGTTTTTCACAGATCCCATTTGTCTGTCTGAGGAAGTTGTCTAGTTGTCTGTGTGTAGTTAGTTGGCTAACACACTTTTAGTTACTTGCTTGATGTTGATTACCTGCCAGGCTGTAAGCTGCAGTGTCTTGTCTGTTGCTATCCCTTAGCACAAAGCAAAGTGCCCAGCATAGAGAAACCACTCAGTAACTATTCCCAAATAACCGAAATAAATTGTTCTTCCAGGTTTGTGCCTTTCTTTGCTTTGTTCTCATCCCAACTTTTGTAAATATCATCTTGCACCCAAGTATTCCTGCTGCTTTAGCTATTTCTCTGTTTTCTTCCCCTTTGGAGTACTAGGGAGCAGATAGTTAACATTATCTTGTTATTATCTGTAAAACATCATGATCTGTATTCTCTTATAAAGACTTATTTTCCCCTCACTTTTAAAAAATCTGCTTTCCTGTGCCTAGGTCACCTTTCAACTTTGCCCAATATTCCCTTTCCTTGTTACTACAAAGTCAAAGTTTCTTTCTTCCAGGATTTCCATCACTCCCAGGTCATCAAAAAGGCCTTTTCTGTTGGCTGGGATTCCCTCTCCTCACCCATTTGGTCCTCTGTGCAACAAAGGGTCATTGGAAGAAGCAAAGGCTTTGTCATATGAGCTAAGTGAGCTTCTCCCCAGAGATCAAGGTTATTGGAACCCATTGCTAGTCTGCTTTGCTTGTGGGTCACTCCATACAAACTGTGTGCAAGAGGCCTTTTGTCTGCCCTTTGACTCATTGTGCAAATTAGAGTACACTTCCTCTCTCTGTCTCATCTTCAATGCATTGGCTCTCCTCTGATGTAGTGGATTAGGATATAGGTGTGCATGATCAGGCTGAACTCCTCTTCCTCCCCTCCCATCCTATCTATTTCCTTTTGAACCAAGCATGCGCCTCATTGCCACATTGTAGGCAATGCATTAAAATATGTTAAAATATCAAGTTCATACTTGAAAAAAATGCTAATACTTAGTGCCTTGATCTATGCTCCTTTGACATTTGAGGCCATATTGGTCTTAATTGATTTCAGAGTCTACAAGGTCAATACACAGCAAATCACACCTTGCCAAGCATTTGTCTCTACTTAATGCCATCTACATGCATGTTGATATACTGTCAATATGGCAGAAAAGTACCTTTTTCTGACAAAATTAGTATTTATAATAATTTCGCACTGTACAGAAATATAGTGTCTTGAAGAAAGAGCTACCTTTTTCCTAATCTGCATGAATGTGAAGAAATATGGCAGCAGTGTCCCGTCCTGCTGGTTACCAACAATAGTTTTCACCAGAAGCAGTGGGTCTGCTTCTAGCCCAATAAATTCCTCTATCCCATTCCATTCTTTTCAATCAAAGAAAGCTTTTTGGACACCGGGCTAGACTTTGGTTGAAGACTGACACCATTTGGCAGATGAGACTATCAGAGCTTGAATCCAATGCTCCTGCGCAGGTTGAGTTGAGAGTTGGAGCTCGGATGTGCCTCTGGAGATGTGAACCTCCCAGCACCACTGGCAAACACGCACCTCCTGGTGCCAGGGTGTCAGCCTGCTGGAGCTGGCTCTGGAAGGGAAGTGTATGCAACCAGGAAATTGACATGTATACTCCAAGGGAATAAACCAAGGAGGAGGAAGAGTTGGAATCCAGGCAAGGGAAGATCCAACACTAGAGAGAGAGGCAGGAAGTCCAAGAACCAGAGCTGTGCAGCAGAACAGGAGAATGAGCAGTTCCAAGGGGAGTGGGAGGGATGACCTTTGGGAAAAATGGAACCAGTAGTTTATCAGATTGCTTAATTATAGGAAAGAGAGTGTTCAGAGGGGTTTTGAAATTCTGCTAGAGAGCTTCAGAAGAATTATTAGGATAATCACTTAGACTAAGCAGACAAAAAAAAAAGAGGTAATTATTAACTCGTAGAAGAACAAAGAGTTATAGAAGAAAGGAAATGTGAAATGTGATCCTAGAATATTTCTTCATTCAGCAGCGAACAGTACATACATAATTGTAATGAAATAAAAATTGAATATTGATTTAACAAAAATGTGATATGTTAGAAGAATGGAAGGAGAGAAAATATAGATGTAAAAGTGGATTTGGAGCAGCCATCCCCATCTTCCATCATGTGAAGGCAATGGGCATTTAAAATTGACAAATCAAGGAATAACTGTGTAAGCATATTATTTAGAAATATGGAGGGAAACATCAGAAGAAAATGTTTTGTAGGGAGGAATTTAGGCTTAGGGTAGGAAAGGGACAGAGGACTGCCATTTTTCCTTCATGCCTTGTAGTACTATTTGGATTTTTGAATTATATACATTGGACTGAATCCTTTGGAAATATAAATAAACAAACTAGCAAATAGTCTGAAAGACAAGAGTTTAGGACTCAAGAGAGGAGGAGGGGGACAGGGAAGAAGAGTCAGGCTGCTTCTTTGCTCCAGGGGCAGGGCAGTTTGCTATTTATCAATGCAAAAAAATTCTGTGCAAGAATGTCAATTTAACCCAAGCCACACGGAAAAACCACCCCTCTGCAGAAGTCCACAGTGGCTGTTGGGAGCTTGGCTGGGGGACAGAACAGATGCTGTTAATACAGCTGCCCCAGCCTGGGTCCTTCCACTGGTGGGAAGAACATCTTCTCCCTCAGTTTCCCTCCACTCTGTTGCAGGCACTTGAGGTGCTAAAATGGGCTGTGTTTTGGACTCAGGGGCAGGCAGGTCAAAGTGGGTGGGGACAGTGCCCTTTGAGGCATTTTGAAGAATGGAGCAGGGACATTCCCATCCACTGGGGGGCCATGGGCATGTGGGGGGGGGCTGTGCAGCCTCACCAGCAGGGGGCACCTGTGCTCCTCTGCTGTGAGATGATCCAGAACAGCATCCGTGGGGATGGGACATGGCTTCTGTAGTCACTCAGAGGAAGGAAGAGTTTCCCTACTCTCCCTCGGCCGTCTGCATTTGAGCATCCCTGTCTTTCTCCAGGACAAGCTCCCAGGGATCACTGAAGCATTGGCTGTCATTGTAAGGGGCTGGGCTGTTCCTGTGGCTGTGTGTGATACATCCGAACCTGCCCTGTGTGAAACAGAGTCCACACCACCTTCCAGGAGCCTGGGTAGGGTCCCAGGCTGCCTACCAGGTCATCTGAGCACTTCAGCACACCAGCCTGACCCCCTGGAGCATGAAGCAAGATGTTTCCTCTCAGCCCCCTCCAACCAGTTGGATCCATTCCTTGGAAGAGCCAGAATGAGCCAGTTTGCCCACACTTGGGGTGCTGCAGTGACGTGGGAGCCGTCCCCTGGGCGTCTGCAGAATAATCACACTCTCCAGTGTCTGAGTCCTGATTGTTTCACAGAATAATAGTCAAATAAAACATGTTCTCCATAAAGGTCTCCTGCTCAGTGACAAGGATCTTAGTTCTGGCTCAGAAATACATTTGGGGAAGGGGAAATGCAGCCAGCAAGGCAGGTACCTCCCCTGCTCCCTCCTCATCCATGAAGTGGTCATCAAGTATCTGCAAAAGATCACAGCCCACTAGAGCATGGAAGGGATTCCAGAGAATGACCAGGCCAGACCCCACTTTGGAGAATTGGCACTTTGAGAGCTCATTCTTGAAGCATCTCCCCAGTGGGAGAATCTTTGCAAATATGTGTGTCAAAAGGGCAGCAAGGTGGGAAACTTCCTGAGTGTGACTTTCTGAGCGGACACCATTGGAGGGTGGGGCGGTGTGGCCAGGGCTGCGTCGTATCATTGTGTTCACACTCACGCCAGGAGCAAGGTCAGCGCTGGGAAGTGAACGCATCCTGCCTGCAAGTAGCAGACAGCCACTGACCACCTACAGGGCTGTGGAGAGGCCACCATCACTGCAAGTGGGAGAGCTTCCCGCTTGGGAGTCCACTCCCTCCTGCTTAGGCCTTCGGATAGCCGAAGGGTCAGACACACCAAAATTTGGATCAGGTCACTTTGCCTCCAAGTCCCCTGCTTGGTTAGACAAGATTGCTGGCTGTGGTTAAGAGCGTGGGGCTTTGGAGTTAGAGCTAATGTCTGAAGATCCTGATTCCTGGGCCGTCAGACTGCCCTGTTACGTAGGATTTTCTGCATGCAGTAAACTGGGACCCGCAGGTCAACAGAGGCTCTGCTCAAAGGGAAAATCCAGAAGAATGAGCCATTTCCTGTAGTATTCCAGGTAGAAAGCCCAGCATACCTGTACACTTAGCTGCCTCAACCACATGCCACTACAAGCTCCTTCTGGGTCTGCTTAGGTCCTGGGAGACAAGGAGGGACAGATGATTTTGCAGGCCTAGGGTCAGTGGTGAGCAGCCCAGGGGGTGGGCTGGGCCCCCTCTGGTTTGGTGTCCACAGGACACTGAGCAGTTTCCTAGTCATTAATTTTTTTCTTTAAACTAGCAGGATATAAGGGGGCAGGTTCCAGAGCCGATCAATTGAAAAACTGACTCTCATAGCCACACTTGGGCTCCAGAGAGCTCAGGGGGGTTCCGGGTGGCCATGGCAGAGGGGCCCTGGCTTCCCTGCTTGGAGCTGGGAGAGACTTTATCGCAGTCCCCCAAGGCAGGGAAGGGCCTGATCCTTAGCTGCAGCACGGGCAGAGCAGGCGGGCAGAGCAGCCGGCTCATCCCCACACGGCGCCTTCTCAGGATTCCCCACGCCCTTCGCCAAGGTCAAAGCAGGCCTCCAAAGCAGGGCGGGCTCTACGGGCTGGAGGCCTCAGGCACGCCCTGGCCCTGCCAGCCTCTCCCTGTGGGTCTCAGAACAGGTTGCTTGGTCTCTGTGAGATGAGGAGCTGGCAAGGAACATCGCTGGTGCCAGAGGGAGAGGGGAGGGCGCCCTGAAGGAGCAAATGACAAAGTCTCAGATACAAACCTCACTGCCCCTCAGACTCCCTGGAGCTTCTGTGGCTACAGCCACCCCATGAGGGAAGCAGGGTGCCCAGGCTGTCCTTTCCTGGCTTACAGATGAGATCCCTGAGGCCCTGAGAAGAGGTGGCCATGCCATTAGAGGTGGCAGATACAAAACTGAAGCACAAGTCCCTGACTCAGTGACTGCCCCTCTGCAGCAGCTGGGCCTTAGGCTGGCCTTGGGTGGAAGAGAGGAAACAGCGCCTGTGCTCTCCCTCTACCACCTCCCTGAAACTGGTGGTTTCTAGTGAGAGTGGCCATCTGAAAGCACGGGTGTACGCACATGTACACAGGGAAGCTGAGTCTCAGAAACCAGCTATGTGCATAGCCAGTGGTTTGCGTGGGGTGACTTCAGCTTTGCTTCTCCCTAAAACAGAAATGGGTCCCATTGTCCCACTTGGTCCTCAACACCTCCCAGCCCAGGGGAAACAGAGGCAGGATTCATGGTAGGAAATCATAGGCAGCTTTTTGCACCTGTGCTCTCCCTCTACCTCCACTCCCCCATCCCTCTGTCTATCAAGGCCTTGGTCCCCTGGGATAGAGTCCACGAAGGGCCTCAGATATAAGCAATTGAATTTAAGGGGGCATTTTTCCAACTTAAAAAAAGTGTTCACCTCATCCATGTTTTCTAAGAAGCAAGACAATATGACTTACCCAAAATTAAGCATTTAAAACATTTTAGTTCCATTTAATAACCAGTTAGGAAGAGGAGGTGGGAATAAGAAAGGGGAGAGAGTATGGAATAGAAGAAGAGGTTAAGTGGGAGGAAAGCACAGATTGCATCAGGCAGGTCTAGTCAGGAAAACAACCGCTCAAGGTATTTCAAGTAGGAAGGGATTTCATACAAGGAATGAGGTGCTTACAAAGCTGTTGGATTGGCTGGAGGAGTGAAGGCCAGGGGGGTCACTGCTACCTCCAGGCTTACCTCTGGCTTTCAGAGAACCAAGAAGCTGCTCCTGCCACCCACGCCAGACACTACAGGGAGCTGCCAGCAATGGTCCTGGCTTCCTGCAGCCTGAGGTCCGTGATTTAGAAGATAAAACATCACATCTGCCAGAGCCTACCTGTCTGCTCACGCTGCCAGGGGCAGAATAATAACGCTTCTGCCTCTCATCTGCCTTCCACATGTCCCACAAGTGCATCTCACTGGTGGGACTTAAAATGTATCTGGCAAGGGAAGTTCTCAGGGTTCCAGCCCCTGCCAGAGATATAGAAAGGGTGTAAGGGCGTTGGGTCCCAACAGACAATAGCCAGCACAGAGAAAAGAGGAAAATGGAGGGAGAGAAGGGAATACCAGCAAGTAGAGGTACAGAGCTGGAGAAGGAAGGAAACTTCTGACAGATGATGGGCAGACAACAAAGGAGGCATGGCTGAGAGCAAAATAGACAAAATGAGATGGGAGAGACAGAGGACAAGACAGAAATAGAACACGGAAGAAAGAACCCTGGGGTCTCTGGGTGCCCATGGGAGTATTAGAGATAGAGCCCAGTCGTGGGAAATCCAGTACCAGTTGAAATGATGACTTATCCAATGCTGACCAGAGTTGTTTAAACTTCTTAAACCTCTGTGGCTGTGACTCTCAAACTTTATTGGGCATAGGAATCACTTGAATAACTTGGTAAAAAAATTTTCAGAGATTCTGATCCAGAAAGTCTGGGGCTGAGGCTGGGAATCTGCATTTTCAAAGCTCCCCAGGTGACACTGGGTGACATTTCAGGACTCACTGCTTTGGCAAGTCCACTGGAAGGTGGCAGTTCTCTAGGCTGCAGCAACCAAGGTGACCACCAAATGCCCCATGAATTCAAGCTTGAGGCCTGCTCGGGTCAGAGGCCTCCCGTCAGCCCCACGCCAGCCACACTCTGCTCCCTGTGGTGTCTCCAAGATCCCTTCCTGCTACGTCCCAGCTCCCAGAGAACTGATGTCCCGGTTGATATTTACCTCTAAACAAGCTAATTAAGCAATTTTTTTAGGAGCATCCATCACTCTGACAAGGTTGTTGATTAACAATCCCCCAGCCAAGACCAAAGTGCTTAATATCCCAGCAGAATGGTCAATAATGACGACAGCAGTGGCGCTGGCTGCGGCAGGACAGGTGACGGCCGAGTCTGGGCGGTGGTGCAGAGTGGGTGATGGGCCCGATTTTGCAGCCTGCTGGAGGACGGCAGGGAGGGGAGCCTGGTGCACACAGGGGCATCTCTATCCAGATTCTAGACCACCAAATGCCCCCAGGGGGTTTCTAAGGCTCTGAACGACTCTGGCCCAGGGGAGAGTGCCACACGAAAGGGGGTTGGACACCAGGACAATGCTCCGATTTGACAGCCCTGTGAACTAACGGTTGCTAAAGGAAGAGGAGAGATGGGAAAAATGACAAAATGACTGGTTTTGGGAGAACAACGTGAGTCCGGACTGATGCATCTTTCTCTTTGCTACCCTTACACTCTTATTTTAAACACCCCTCTGGCCCCTTAAGAGGATTTACTTTCTTCAGTGCTGGAAGAATGGGCTCTGTGACCAAGCAGAAGGTGATAAAACACTTCCCCCTGATGGTCACGGTTGTTGCAGCTTCAAATCCTCCACCTTCCAAAGGGTCCCGCCCACTCGACACCCAGTGTGGGCCTCAGCTCGCAGAGCCCCCAGGCAGCCCCCACGCACCACCAGGCAGCCCCCAGGCAGCCCCACTGCGCATTATCTGAGCTGCCATGTCTGTGAAATTGCTCCATCATCTTTGTCTGGCTCCATTTTGCATGGATCCTTGTGTCACTTCTGCCATTGTTCGCATACAGATTGGATGGCCTTGGCAAGTACTCTGGGCCAAGGGGAAGGAAACTGGCCCCAGCTGTGATCTCCACTCACCCTGATTTGGTCACTGACATGCCATGTCAGCTTATGTCTTCTAAGGGTTTCCAGTTCTGTTCAGCCACAAAGAAAAGAAAACAGCATATAGTAAGTGCTCAATAAATGTTAAGAGGCTGAATGGCTGAACGTGTGTAGTGTAAGGACAGGGAGCAGGTGCAGTGGGCAGAGCACTGGGCAAGGGCTCTGGAGTCTGCGGTTCGTGTCCTGCTGCTGCCTCCACCCAGCTGTGTGCCTTTGGGGAAATGGCCTTTTCTTTCTGGGGCTCCTCCTCCAAAAATGAAGGGCCGGACTCTAAAGATCTCTAAAGTCTCTCCTATGTCACAAACTTGGGGAGCCAGGTCCTAACATTCTACTGGGCAGTCATCATTGAGGGGCAGCAATTAGCCAGAATGAAAGAGCTGCTAGCAGTTCAGCAACAGCAGCTCTGCTGAGACCCATGCTCTCTGGGCAGTGTTCTCCTCCCTCAGCCTGAGTGTAGCTGCCCCTCTCAGGATGTCTGTGACAATGGAACTTAAAAAAACTCCTCCATCCACCTGGGGTTGGCCATCAGGTAAATTGGGGGACTGTGCAGCCACAGATAGTGGTGACACAGTGACACCTAGTGGCCATC